CAAATTACAAAGCAATAAAGAAGTAACTTATGTTAAGCTGTGAACTTAATGACTCATCAGTTGTCTGTTTATTTCAGGAGTTGCATGCTTGCTGGAATAACTTTCGAGTGAAAAAGCAATTTATTAACCCGGGCCATTCCTGGCCCGGGTCTAGATCCGCCTGTCAATTATTGGCAGTGTTTGCCTTGATACCGGTAGTTTTCGTAGTAGCCATATTTTCATCAATATGCTACACAGCGCACAAACGACAACACAGCTGGGATTTTCACGTTTTTAGTTCCCACGAATCCCACGTGCGTATCAAGTGATTTTCTTGAAGGGGTAAACCCGTTTTCCGTGTCGGCAAAATGTTTAAGATAAACCGACAAATATCTAAAGAATAGTGATGAGAAAAGGGCTCGATTTACCTGGGTGCACGCATGCACCAGTGCATGTACATGTAGATTTTAGCTTGTGCACGTAGCTTTTTCACTGAGCATGCACGACGTGCATGTAACTTTTTTAGCCACCAAAATACTCATTTCATGCATATATTTACCAGTGAGTGAGAATAAGAATAAAGTTTGTTGAATAATTGACCAGATAGTGTACAAACGTGTTATTTCTTTTATAAATCCATAGATTATTCCTCGCACAGTCGCAGCAGATTCAAAGTTACGAGGTAAAATCTCGACGTACGTCCTGCAACCTCCTCCGATCATGCACGTGATTTACCACGTGATAGATGCTGCGGATAATTTGGTATCGCACTGACGCTCCGGGCATTCCTTATGTCCGGATCATAAGTGCGATTCCAAATTATTAGCTGCGTTTGTCACGTGGTCTCGTTATTGGCCCATCAGACGCCGCCTGTTTACAAACTAAACACGTACAGATTTTATACAGCTGAACAAAATTGACGTTCTTTTTCAGTATTTAAGCTTAACTAAATCAAAACATGATGGATGTTTACCATGTCCGATAGTTGTGTAATTCAGTGGACCGAAATTTGGTGGCAAGTACACTTTGTGTCAACTTTTCATGATCAAAATGTTGTATAGCAGTTTTGCGATGCACTTTAAAAATTGCGTCGCAGTCGGCCTCCAATGTGTCGCAAATTGCGATGCGATACCGCTTATTGCGGACCCTGCTTGCAGCTATCCAAAAAGTAACTGACGAAATTATTAATGAAAATACTTACTTACTACTTACTACAAGCGTGCAGACAAACAGGTTTGGGGCCATTTTATTTTGGCCATTTTTTTAATGGAAATGACCATCATGTCTTCATTTTAATAGCGTAAAGCTAAATATTTTCAGTGTCATTTGCACCATATGCCACTAAGACCTTGTAGTTCAGGAATATCTTTAAATAATTTCAAAATGTCTCTCCAATTTAGAGAAATCTGCATTTGAAATAGTCTAAACTTTGGGATTATACACCTCACTGCATGTAGGTACACGGTACCAGTTTCGGGCAGGCGTTGAGATTTCAAATTCCGTCACAACACAGTTACAAAGTGACAGTTTTTTTATATCCTAGGGTCAGTTATTGTTCTGTTTCAAGTCGATCCTTTGCCTTGTGAATGACTGCTGCATGGTACAGTGTACATGTATTAGGCGAGTTTAATCTCAACTGTTTTGGGATAATAGGGGAACAGGACGATGTGAAAAAGTTACGGCCATCTTCACAGACCAGACGGCTGGAAAAACTATACAGTTGTTACCCCAGCGTGAAATGTCAAATTCTGATGTACTCTTTGTGCCTTGGGTTTCCCAGGCTAGTGTGTATTGTTCATAACACTGTTAATAAACTTTCTATTCAATTAAAAACGTTAACCTACCTGATGACTAAAGCTCTTCCCGCTTCCACACACTTCCATACTTTGCGCGGACGAACGTCAGATCCCCTGTCGTAGCCCGTATGATGATGAAGCTAGTATCTGAGACAGCGGTGATGTGGGCATCAGCAAATTCTCTGAAACTACCATCTTGTTTCAAGCCATAAGCGCTGACACTTACAGTTCCACTGCCTGTTGAGAAACGGAAATAGTCTCTGCTTTCAATGATCGTTTGGCTCGTTCCACCTCCGGGGTGTGTAAGACGAACCTTGACTGGTTGTGGGGTGTCATTTGCGATATGCGTGTTGTCTTCCGACTTCACACCACTGACAACAATAAGGATAACACATATGGCTGTTTTTACTTTTGCTGCCATTGTACTTAATGGTTAATTGTTAATTCCAGTGATTAACGTAAAGTTGACGGGAATGTATGGATCTGATATGGTTTGAGCTCTCTGATGTTGGCCTTTTATATCGGAACTGATTGAAGAGAAAGTGAAAGGGTGTAAATGAAAATGAAATTTGAAACGTTGACAATGCATTTCACGTGACACTGTCATATTCAGGGGAAAAAAATCAACTGTAGGCGTACATGTAGGTGAGCTGCCTTATCACACGAAGATAAGTGTGATCACACATGTCACATGATGATAACATGGGGATTTTGCTCATTTAAAAGAAATAATCATTTTTTGGCCACTGCTCTCTCAAACATGGTCCCATCGTGACCTGTTTTCACTTTTTACCATCTTGATAGAATGGGTAAAGAAGAAGAAAACATGGTTGGTCCCAAGCTTATCCACATTTGTGTTATCGGGGGTATATTGCTTTGAGGACACCCCCACGCCTGTGACTTTGCCCTATTTGAGGACAGAAATGAGTTCAAAAATTCATAATCATTCTTAAGATACACTCTTTCTTTGTCATTTAAAAACTGCCTGATGAGACCACACACTTTGATTTGAGTGGTAGATAAACTTTCTGTCTTGAAAGTTGGGCTCACTATAGCCATTTTTGCTAAACCTACCCCTAAATAACTCTGTATTACGGCTGTGTGGGATGATCACAAGAGGATGATACTAATTATATCTGAGGTGACCAGTGTTGACGTCCATTTGGGTTTCCAGCTCTTGCCTCCAAGTTGATTGAGGACTAAGATACATTCATCAGGCTGGGCTGAGCTAATCCAGGCAAGGTCGAAGGAGAGCCCATCTCAGTGTCCACATTCATAGCCAAGGTTTAGGGCAATTTATAGGGCTCAGCTCTACGTCAAAGGGGCTTCTCCAGCCTTGATAAGTAAATCCTAGTAAGCATACTTGAACGGTGCAAGACAGCCCTTTTCTAGGATCACAGCCACTGTCTATGTCCATCCAGGGATCAACACTGCGCCAAACTGGCTACACCTACTATGGACAAAACCCTGGTAATCACACCAAGGCAGTAAATGATGTTAGATGCTACTGGCAGTTTTAATTGATGTGGATGTCTGGCTAATTGAACACCAGATAAGAAGGTCCATGATGCCCATGGCTGACCTTAATGCATCAGTTGCTGGCTCGGACTTGACCTGATTTTTTTATGAGTCTGCTTGTCCTTCATATGTACTTGTCTAGTCGTGGCCTACATGCATGTACCGGTACATGTAGGAACAGTGGTCACACATTCATGAACTGCAGTGTCTCTCTATAATTAGATTGTCGGGAAAAACAGCATACACAGTTGTGAAGTATCCTTTACAAACTGTTGAACCCCAAGGCAGACTCTAGGTAGGTGCTAGGCACTCTTTGGTTGCAGACCAGTAAATAAACTGCCATAGACCCCAATGATAAATGCCCCCACTTCAGAAATTCAGGAAAAATACTAACAACTCTCCAAGGTGTTCAAGACACACATCAAATTAAAGCTTATTTCATCATCTTTCATATTCTATTCAATATTCTGATGACTTTAAGGAGAAATTTCCATCCGAAGATGATCACCATGTAAAATAGTCCTGAAGCGCATCGCCATTTTGAAAAATGATGTATACACTCCACTGCAAAATAGAGCGCTTTTAGGGCCCCAATTTCATCCAAATTGCACAGAGCTACCGGTACAAGCTCACAGTCCTGGGCACGGCTTCCAACCATAGTTTTTACAAACCCGCAAGTTCATGGCCCGAAATATGCTCAAATACCAAAGAATTTGAGGGCATGCAAATCGTGGCATGCAAATTTTGGACCGATTTACTGGCCTGCAACCCTAGAGACCGATATCTATAGCAATCTAGTACTTTTTAGTGCAGACATACCAGTAGTATACTGTATCAAAATGTATTTCTGACTGAACGAAACAACATTGCCAGAGGTCACTCGGAGCTACATTTGGGATAAAACTTGAATAAAACTTGGCAGTGCGTTTTACATACATTATACCATTCATCTAAAGTTAAAACAAGTTCTTCAAGACTACTTAAGTTTGCAGTGTTGTAAAATTAAAGAACTACATATTCCATTTTGCAGAGTCTTGTAAAATTTAAGAATTATTCCATTTTGCAGAGTCTTGTAGAATTTAAGATTTATTCCATTTTGCAGAGTGTTGTAGAATTTAAGAATTATTCCATTTTGCAGAGTGTTGTAGAATTTAAGAATTATTCCATTTTGCAGAGTGTTGTAGAATTTAAGAATTATTCCATTTTGCAGAGTGTTGTAGAATTTAAGAATTATTCCATTTTGCAGAGTTTTGTAAAATTTAAGTATTATTCCATTTTGCAGAGAGTTGTAAAATTAAAGAATTATTCAGAAACCATACATTCAAGTATTCAAATATTTCATTTAGGAGGTATTTTTGAAAAAAAAAGCTTGTTTTAAGTTCATCTACATAATTACCAGGAAACAATTGTTCTCAAACAGTAACTGTAGTTGTGACTGTCAAACTGTTTATATTGCCAATAAAATATATTAAGTACCGATGCACAATGAATCACACTCAGCATAGTGCCACTCTTTTAACAGTTGCTGCCAGTCGTAAAGCCGAAAAAACACCGCCTTGTGTTTTTCAGAAAGGAAATGCCAACATGAAGATTGTGAACAATTAGGCCCTATCATTGGATGTGACAATCGCTGATAGACAGAGAGACATGTATGACTACAAGGATATCATTAACTTTGTCTAATAAACATGCTATGATTCCTTGCAGTGGGCGACTGGTACCAGGAGCTGCTGCACAGCGACGGCCTTGACATTAAGAAAATGAGACATCAAATCAAGTAAGTCCTTCATCTGTTCATGCACATCAGTCTGCAATGATCAGAGGGACATCTTATTAACAACCATGTGGAAATGAGTCTGCATGCCAGGGACAGTTGATACTTGGGGGTATCAACAGGATGTTCAGTTGGTTTAGCCTTACTTTTTTGGTAAAATAAAATGGTAAATTAAAAGGTCAAAAGATGAATAAACACATACTTTCTTTGTGTACATCTGCATGTACTTAGCCCACAAAAGTAAACACCGGGAATCTAGCTTTTAGGAAAGGGGGGATTTATATGAAGGGGGGGGGGGGGCCTTGGGTCAATGCATCCCGAAAGTGCATCCAGAAAATTTCGAAATTTAGAATGCTTTCTCCTGCAGTTTAAAGCAGTTTAAGAATAATTTTAGGAATTAGTGTTCCCTTTGTTATTGTTTGTCCCATTTTACATGTATGATTTTTATTTCAAAATGTCTATTAATCTTTGACAGATTTCGAATCTTTTTCAAAGGCTGGGGCTCAAGAAATAAATATTGTTGCACCCGCTCTCTGTCTCTTCCCATATTTTGTGTTCATTGCAAATTTGGGTTTGGGTTACCTTTTTTGTATCAATTTCCAACGCTGGATAGCTGTTACGTTGAGGTTTCTGTCTAAAATAACATTACAGTTTTTCTCATGAATATGGACATTTGCATCGGCATAGAAATCTCAAATGCCCCAGTATACCTTTTGAAATGGTCAAATGAAATATGAAAATAGGGCAAATTGGGCCAAAAAAAGATACATTTTCAAAGATTGCATGTTTAATAAAAATAACTTACATTATATGGGCCCTTTAAAGTTTAAAGAACAATGCCAACAAATGTGTTGGTTGTGGGCTTTGCCAGATGTTGACCTTTGACCCAAATGTAACTGCACTGACAATATATGACAAAATACATTTCCAGTTTGCCTGTTGGAATGATGTTTTTCCCTTTCCCGTCAGGATGTTCACCGATGTTGCAGTGTCCTCTGCTCCTGTCACAGCTGGAAAAAATCCATCTCCTGTTGCATATATAGAGTTTATATTTTCACTATTTAGTCAGCATCTTTTCTGGTTTTCATCCTCTTCTCAACCATTTTGAGAGGTTTAAAGGAGTTAAAATTGCTGAAAGACAAATCCATAAAATAGGATCAGCACATCCACCCCCCCCCTCCTTTTTCTATCTTCCAACACTCATTCCTAGATCTCCCTGGGCGTAGCAGTGATTATGTTCTATTTGATTGGACGACTAATTGAACTTTCCGTCCTGTTTCCTTCTCTCCCCAGGGACTTCTCATTATCTGGAACATACAGGAAGATGCTGGTCAAGCCAGCCAATGTTTCCTGGTAAGCGCCAAGCCTTGTTATATAAGTTTCCTCCCATTGAATGTCAATCTCACTCTGTTGTGCCAGTTATGCCATCTTGTGCAGGTTTCTCCAATGGGTCACACTCTAGTTGCACATACATGTAGTGCAAGTGGTTTTGTCTTCTGAAGAACAGGTGAAGTGGGTTCACGCACAGTGACCAACTACATATGTTTGTTTGTTATTTGTTTGTTTGTTTGTTTATTCGGCAATTCGCCAGGATTACCCAGAGGGGTCCCTCGGTAGAAGATGTGGAAGGAAATTACAGTTTTAGTAGCGGGAGGAAAACCCCAGAATGATATTCTAGGGAAACCTACGAAATCAAGTAGGATCTGAAAACCAAATCCACATGTTGGCCCAGCTGGGATTTAAATCTGGGCGACAGCAGTGGAAGGCGAGGAAAGTACCACCAGCTGAACCTGATCCCCCATCAGTGTAATCAGTGTGATAATTAGTACAGTAATATGTGTACATGCAAACCTCTGACATGGTTCATTGCAAAAGTTCTTATAACTTGTAATGTTAAAGCTATAGTCCATCATTTGCAGCTATCCAAAAAGTGACTGACGTAATTAGTGTTGAAAAACATACTCAGTTGAAAGATAGTAAGGGGACTAAACTTCTTGTGAAATTATTCTTTCTGGCATGCTGTCATTTTGAAGAAATCAGCAAAAGAAGGCCTTTCTTAAGACACACCATAGGAAATTCAAATTAGTAGTTCGTTTGTTATTCGGCGAAGCACGGGCAAGCAGTGGCACGACGCACATGCGCGCACTGTTGCTTTAATTTGTCGGATCAGTGCGCGACATCGCGTAGCTGCATTCGACTCGGTGAGAACGTGTCTCGAACGCTGAATTCAGGCCCAATTCAAAACATGATTCAGCAACTTTTGATTTGAAATTGAGATCCTAGAATACTCTTTTTCTCCGAATATACGGCTGAAGCTGAGCTGAAAGTTTATCAGGTTAGTTGTTCAGCATCCTTCTTCAGATTTCGAGTACGTTTGTTGCTTCAAACGAACAAAATGCACAAAATTTCAAATCAAACGAACAAAAAGCACCAATTCCATATGATGGACTTTACCTTTATAGATGGAGAAATTTCATTGGTTAGAATATAACATAGTGTGTTTCAGATCGACGTGCTTGTATGACCACTGAATGGACTTGTCAAAAAAAGGGGGGAAAAGGAGAAGACTCATGTACCCAGGGTAAACTTTGAAACAGCCAACTTACTCTGGAAAGCTCGGACAAGTGTGTACATTTGCCTGCAATTGGGGACCCCCTATTGTCCCTCTTTTGTTTGTACTCTAACGTTTTAGGAAGGCCTCCCATATGTTTTTACATGAATCCAAATTGGGGACCTCTCGGGAATTGGGGACCCTATTGTCCTCTGTTGTTCAACGTCCCCTATTGAATGCAGAAACAAACTCAGTGATGGAAGGGTTGACACTTCTGCACCAATTATCAGGATGTCATGGGTTCGAGTCCAACCTGAGCCAACTTTGGAGTTGTATTAAAGGAATGTACATCATTGGCTTTTGCTGTAATTTTCAGAAACAAACTATATTGGGGATTAGGATAATAGATCAAATATTGTTACACTGACATGTTTGAAGTTTTGTGTTCGAAAATGCTGGAAAAACCAAAAATGTTCAAGTAGTCTGGTTCCCTGACTCCACTAAAGATGAAATGGATCAAAAATGCCGGAAAATTGTAAGGTAAGGGAACCAGTCGACCGACCACCGTTAAAAATGTATACAAAAGTACCATTTTTCCTGAAAACGACTTCACACCAGGTGCCATAATTTTACAGGATGCTTTAGACTGTCATTTACCAACATCCTAGTAAGGCATTTCGTAACAACTCGTTAGTTTAATTTTTCGATGTTTGCAAATGTTGTTTTTTCCCTTTAAGAAACTGAAGCTGAAGCCGCATACCAATCCTTGGGTAAAGGAAATCCCCATAGTTTACTACATGAGATGATTATTCTGTTTCAGGTCAGTCGTACCATACAGCGATGCCACCATCCCATTAGTGCAGTCAGACTTGGACAGACTGGAAGGCAAAGAACCACGAGCAGTTGAATCAGGTCAGTGATGATTCATTGGTCATGAGACCCGGCCACTAACTTCCTCAACACTCCCCGAAAAAAACGCCTTCGGTTTATTAGGGAAACCCTGCTTTAATCTTGATACGATAAAAATAGAAATGCCGCAGGGAAAGATGAAAAGATCAGTTTTCGTTCAATGTGTCAAGCTGTGAATGGACGTGTCTGCAAAAAAATCGGGGGCCAATCTCTTCATAGATTTCCAAGTACAGAATAAAAAAGTAAAAGTAATCTATTGTAAGCCAATATGGCCAATTAATTGGGCCAGCATTACACGTATCTCCAGTTGTCTTGGCATGAAACATCTACTCCTGTTCCCCTGGATGGGATTCCAGTCCATTGCAGGTTACTCCCCAGCTAATGCCAGTACTTATTCATACTCCTGGGTGGAGAGAGAGATCGAGGCAAGTGTGGTTAAAGTGTTTTGCCTGAATATACAACATGTGGCCAGCAGCTGGAGTCAAAAGCCTGATGACCCTCTGATCATGAGCCAGGAACCCTAACACCAAGGCCCCCCAGCACAAAATAAGCCTACAATTATCTGCTCAGCCTATGACAATTTACCCATTCCTATTGGTCGAGAGCCCGTCATGTGGCTGGTCTTAAACGATTGATAAAACACCGGCTGGCTGGTCTTCAAAACTTTTCCAGTGTCACATGAAATTTGGAATCTATGAAATCCGGTCCATTTCACCCCTTATTGGTCCATTTCGAGATATGATGGACACAAAAGGAGGGCGCTATTTGGATTGGTTAGACTAATTTGTTTTTACCAAAATTTACCAACTCCAGTGTCAGTCATAAAAAAAAGTTTTATACTTTGTATGTTTTGTCCCATTTATCAGATGGCAAACTCAGCGCCCTGAGACTAGAGTTCACCTTGTCCAGCTCCTGTTATGCGACCATGGCAATCAGAGAGGTCCTTAAAATTGACACCTCGGCGGCTCACCAGTCCACTCTGAATCCTGTCCAACAGACAGAACCGAGCAACACCTCCGTTGATATGGCAGAGGCTGATGTGTGATGACAAAAATATTTAGTTTAAGAATCTATGCATGGAATGATAGAAGATGCATTAAAAAGGGTAACCCAAACATACACAATGTATCTATTTAGCATGACAAATCGTCAATGACACCACGAAGTAACACTCAAGTGGACTTGAGTTTGCACCACGAGTGGGTATTTTACAAAAACGAGTGATATTTGTTTTTACGAACTGTGCGCTGAATCGGTATTTTTCATTTTCAGGAAATAACACTCGTCTTTATTTCACCAGTTAGAAGGTTTTTTATTTAAAAATTGTCTGCAGTTCTACAAGAATGCGGATTAATTACATTCCTGTCAAACGTTTTAAAATGTTTTTATTCAAATAGTTTTTCTGTAAAAGTGTTGTAACTTTGAAAACGAAATCCGTTGGCGCTAGTGTCCGATGTGCGTGCACGCACACATGAGTGTTACTTCGTGAAACTAAAACTTGCCATTTAGCCGTTTTCACGAAGTAGCACATCTGTATACGTTGGTATTTCTCCGTGGTGTCGGTATGATTGCTCTTATAACTCTTTGGTGCTCGGGTAAGGTATCAATGGAAAGCTGTAGTAGACCGACCTTTCTGATGCAATCACATTTAAGGTACTCCAGTTTATAACTTAAACATGCTAGCAAGTTATCTTTCGATTACTTTGTAGTACCCTTTGCATATCCATTCAATGTCATTTGCTTTGCCAACTCATTGCTAGGATTTGGATGTTTTCGTCATTTGCTGCAGAGTTTGCTAAAATACACCTTTTTTTCATTGGACTTATGTTTATTTAAGCATGTCCATCTATCTCAAGATTATATACAAGCCTTTTTGTAAAAACTAGAAGCGCTGGCAGAGACATCATTGCCTCAAAAAATAGACTCAATAAAGCTATTATAAAGTATGATCTTTAGTGTTGCAAGTGACCCCTTAGGTTCAGGTCGGGTTTTTGGTTCGGGTTTGGTTCGGGTTTGGTTCGACAGCAAGTAATAAGAAGAGAGGGAGCATACCTGTTATCGTCTTCATACATAAGACTACCGTTTTATGAGCCTTTTGTGTGCCCCAGTCCCATGCCAGAATTGATGGTAATTGAGAACGCGCATGAGGCATTGCCGAACCGTTTTTTCCCCAAGTTGACGCGACGTCAGCTGCAAGTGTTTGGCCTCCAGTGCAAAATTGTGCTTAGACTGGTTTCCACCAAATATGTTGATAACCTTTTTTGAGCGGAATTAACTTTTATGCGATTTGGCATTATATTGTTTTTAAATTGAATACGTGGAATGCTGTATGTTAAAGTGATATTCATTTAATGGAAACATTGTGCCACTGATACCAGATTCGGGGTGAAAATCATAAACGTTTAAAGAACTTGTTATTTCTAAGTGGTTTCAATTTAATAAACATCAATATCCATACATTCCTTGAAATTGTTCTCCGAGTAGTGTGTCCATTTTTATGCAAAAATGTTCTGACCGATTCAGTCTGGCGTTCCAGAGTCGTGCCTAATCTAATAATTCCGAAGATTTGAATTTAGTTCGACGTTTGAAATAATAAGACTTGACTTCGTGGAGAGCCAGACTATTGCTGTCATTCGGGACGTCTCCGGAGCGTCTTGGTTTCAGAGATACCACCGAAGTCATCGGAAAATTGTGCAAGTCTGAAACTAAAGTTTGTGGGTTGTTGACTTGATGAGTCGCTCCCTGTGTTTTTCTGGGTTCGGCACGACTATGGAACACATTTTGAAACGTGTGTGGGGTAATACTTGTCCTTATATAATACAGGGTGAGTAAAAAAAATAGGAAACCCAAATGTCAGAACAATTTTTTAATGAAGGTCTGCATGCAGCACTTTCAAAACAGGATAAGAAAGCCCAATTCATAAGCTTTCTTTTAGTACAAGAATCATTCAGATCACTCAAGTACTTTGCAAGTTACGGAATTTTAAACACAAACACCGTTTTAAACTTCTGTCCAGGCACGGATCACAAAAAGGTGAGTGTTCTTTCAGCATAACGAAAACAATTCACATACATCCCTATACGAATTGTTTTCGTTTTGCTGAAAGAACATAAGCTATATCAGCTTCGGTCCAAAAATTGGGCCACCGGTATCAAATGATCGAAAGGGGCTGGCAAGGTATGCACATCTAGAGTTGGAAAATGTGTGATACATTTGTAGCTTTGCAGTGTGAGCGACGGCAGTTTTTTTGGTGTTATCACTTTTGTTATTTTTTCTTCAAAGTTGCCGCCAATATGCTCGTTACCGGATTTTTCTTTTAAGTGAGAGCGCCCAAAAAAGCTGCCGACGCTGCAATGCTATCACATATTTTCCAACTCGAGGGGTGCATACCTTGCCAGATATCACAATGAGCATTATTCCCCTCATTTGATACCGAACAAACCCCCGGGCTGATGGCCTAACACTTAATAATTCGAACGGATTTTCAATTCCAATCTTGGGTGTCGGCAACACTCTGAACATGGCTTACATTCACATTTCGCGCTCAAATGAGTTTTTTGTCTCGTTCAAAAGTGAATAAGTTTGATATTGCTATAGGAAAATAGCTATTGAAAATGTAAATCTATTTATCGAGGTGAAAATTCGAAAATAGGAGGGAATGTTAATGCATCAGTGAAAAAAAATCCGCACGCGAAACTCCACAGTCACGGAAATAAAAGTAACACGTCTGTCATATAATACTGCAGACTGAAGAGTCCTGGATATACTGATGGATGTGGCCGGCGGGATTCGTCTGCTGAAAGGAACTCAGCTAACACCTCACCTTGTAATTTTCCTTTAAAAAAATAACAATACAAATATCTGAAAAGAATTCGCAGCGTAATTTGCGGTATGTTTTGTTTTCATTTCAATTTCGCTACCTTCATCATCGTTCTGAGATGCACAACTTTGGATATCCATGCGACTCCTTTTGAAAGGTCCTCAACAATTATGTCCATAAGATATGCATCGGTACATCAGACCAAACCCTCGTGACTTATGTTCGGAATGTTTGGCTCGCCTCCAGGTGGCAAATGAGACTGCATACTCTAGATTTTTGTCCACAATCTTAGAATAGTATAGTATCAAAGTGTTACGTAGTGTTTTTGTGTTTCGTTGTCCACCATTACATATGGTGGCGCCTCAAAGAGTACGGAGTGCATTGAAGTTACATTTGCTTGGACAAGCTATTATAGAAGCACCCTCATCAAGGAACTGGCCTATTCTGTTGCTGTCTAAATTGGTAAGACTTTTAGTTGTGCTTTGGAGAAGTTAATTGGATATAAACCAAGATAATTATGACATAGATTTCAACGTTATACTTCAGCCTCTGGGGGGATTTGAACTTGCCAATAGTTGATTATGTTTCATGCGAGGACCGCTATATGCCGAGTGTATTAACTTTCTTGACGCCTTCCGAGATTTCTTATTATTGCTTGAACGAAGGCCATTGTACATCTTAATTGTTGAATGACGTTACATCATTGTTATTATTTAGTCAATTGGTTACATTTACAGCATTTAAAAGAACGGCAGTAAAGTCGAGCTGCCACAGTAGCCGAGTTGCCACAGTGGCCTATAGTGGTTAACGAGATGAGCTGTAGATGAACCGAGGTCCCGTTCGAATCCTGCTATTCTGCTCCATCCAACTTCATCGATATTTTTTATTGAAGGGGGGGGGGACGAAAACCTTAGTGTCTTGCATGTTGTGATTCTGTGAAATTCTTGAAGTTGAACTATTTGTACGTGGCTTAACCCATCACATACGGGAAAGAGATATGCGTAAAAGATGCCGAATGCAGTGGCGTGCCGTGCTCCATTCGTGCAAAATAATGTCTAGGAAAAACAATAGCGTGACGTCACAGGAGGGTGTTAATGAATTCTAACTTTGTTGTCTTTCTTTAATAGGCATAAGTGGGCTTCACCATGGCCGTGATTGCGCGCTTTAGTCCTGCTGTGGGCTTTGCCATTCTCTTGCTGACTGTCACAGTGACTGACGCTAATTTGCGCTACCTCCGCACCGTGGCCTTCTCGGCACAGCGGACCCAGCGTGTCCTGCCCACCACGCCCGAGCAGGCCATCGGCCTGTACAACCGGGTGGTCCGACCGGACGCGAACCACTTCGACGAGGACAGCGGCGTTTTCACCGCGCCCATCAAGGGCGTCTACGCCTTGGCCTTCACCTTCCACGAGGCGCTCGATGCCTCCGACCCAGCCAGCTACATCAAGCTGGTCAGGGAGTCGTCTGACGGTGGGTCCGAGACTGACGTAGTGGCTACCGAGAGCTCACCGCCCCCAGCCTCCGGTTCGTCCATCTCCGTGCCCGGTGCCTCCGTCATGCTGGAATTAGAGAAGGGGGACAAGATGTACTTGGCCACAACCGATGCAATAGACGCAGAAGTCAGCCAGCCTATCTCGTTCAGCGGTTATCTATTGACTCGAATTGTATGAAGTATAACTCTGTAATGACATGATGGATGCAATCACAGTTTCAACCTTACTATCAGAAATTATAAACATGCCGAAAATTATTGTAATTAGATGCCTGATAACAAAACACCATTTCGTTATTGTTTCTTGAAGAGAGTTTGCGTACTATTCATGTTATTTATTATAAGACACAAATAAAAGAAAAAGATATATGCATTATGTGACGTATTTCTTGTTTTTATATTGGAGGGAATAATCAAAGGTGAAACCGTTATTTATTCATTCTTTTTCACCTTGTATCGCAAATATTGCTGCTGGAAAAAAAGGCGAGTACCAATGTTTTCTACAGGATGGGCTGCTTCAGTTTTGGGATTAAACTCGGGAAACCCTGCAGAGAACTATTTAACACTCGCATAAAATTCCAGCCTTGTTTTCTTTCAAAATAAAAAAATGAAATAGACATACTAAAACGACACTTGGTCTTTATTTAAACAAGGTCTTCCCTATGAACTTTCAAAGGAGACATTAACACCCTCGGACGATGGATGTGAATGGCAAAATACATCTCCGGCCCTTATTAGAATTCGTTAAGCTGATGCGCATGCATGGTGGTTCCCTCAACATTGACATGACGTTGCCTCTATCATGGAGGAATTATGCCTTATGCCTCTATAATAGCCACCAAAAGATATGGCCAATGAAGGTTTGGTTCCCTCGGCTCCAAGTACCGCCCCCGGCATCAGTCAGCCCGTTTTAATCCTATAGGGAGCGACTGGGGGGGGGGGGGGGGGGGGGGGGCTGCGCCCAATTTCTTCCGGGCTGAAAATGTAGACGGTGTTTCACCGAACACTCGGCCGGCCTCCGTAAATTTGAAAAACCGGGGAGGGATGCAAAATCATTACTAACATTGTCGTAAAAGTCGGTATCTTAAAATTTCTATGCAAAACCCCCTTCACCGGGGGTTGTGCAAAAAATATCAGACGGTTGTTTATTACTACCCGTCGCACTCAATTATTTTGGCAGCGACCGCAAGCCCCATTTTAAAGAATAATAAGATAGACAACTTTTACGACAACGTGGTAGTATTAAAATGTAAACTGTCGTACACCCCCCCCCTTCTGTAGCTGCGCCGCTAGCGTAATTTTTATTCCCAGGACGGTTGCGGCCAAGTCATGAATAATTCAGTAGTTTCGATGTTTATTCATGAACAGAACAATGATATCAAGAGCATTATTGTTATTTAGTCAACCAGTTACATTAAAGTTTATTCATGAAACAGAACAATGATATCAAGAACACTGTTGTTATTTAGCCAACCAGTTATATTAAAGTATTTAAAGAACGTTGTCGAGCTACCACAGTAGCTATAGCGAGATGAGCTATGGACACAAAGAGCCCTGGTTCGAATCCACGTCGTCGCTGATCATTTTCATTGACTATTTTTCTTCTCTAAATTTATCGTTGAGATAATTTTATTAAGGGGAAAAAAGAGATCGAGAACCGAAGAATATTGCAATGATTCCAAGGAAAAACTGAAGTATGTAAGACTTGGCCCCATCTCTCCTAGGATAAAAATACGCGCGCCGTTGCCCGCACACACGCACACCCCTGACCCAAACCTTCCGTATGCGTAGTCGCCTTTCAACTTGACATATTGCACCGACCAGAAGTAGTGATGCTGAGTTCGTCTTCTAACCGGGCATATCTTATTCGGGGAAAACAATCCTGATCGGTTCAAAGATAATACATACACCGTGCTACTCAAACAATGTTGTTATTTTTTAATTTCAATGTGCATGTTTGGTTTTAACAGAAACTTTACTCTGATTTGGGGCGTCTACAAGGCTTTGAAAAAGGAAATTATGATTTTCATTTCAAACACGCGCCGTGCGAGGGCCGAATTAACGTCTGGAGCCAATAATTCAGTTGTGAAGAAATAATTCAAAACTGAACGTCGGGGATTTTTTTCGTTTGATATAGGCCTATCTTATTCAAAAGTGAATAACTTTTTCATGATATTTCTTTGAAAATAGCAGTGGAAAAAAACACATTTTTTTCGAGGTGAATAAATAGCACGCGGAATACATCTTTTAATTCGTTTGAAAAAAAAGAAGAAGAGTTCGGGCTACCCCATGCCTCGCGCCTCGCCTCTTTTTTATTATAAGAAAATCATACCGATAATTCCCCCGCTCACCACTGAATAATGTTTGGTTGTAGGCCTACTTTGAACAAATTTCTAGTTCAGGGGTTGGGGGGGGGGTGGAGTAATCTTTGGGGAAAGTTTTGCGGGCCCAGAAAAAGAGGTAACTTTATTTATTTATTGGTTTATTGATATACATGACTGTAGGCCTATTGTTATTTCGGGCTCTTTTTCCATACTCGCACCGTCATTGTTGGTCACTCAACGGACACAATTACAAGCGCCCTCGCTTAAATTTCGAAACGATAAAAGTAGGGCAAATGAAACCGGAAACAGTCGTCGGGGAACAGGTTGTTATCGTAAGTAAGGTAACTTAGGTCAATTTATGTATTGGGGAGTGACAGCGATTCTCGGTACCAGACTGGTTGCTAGTGTAAACTACGCATGTTCAGATCAATTCCTTATCGAACAACAAGTGTACCGAACAAGTGACTTTTTGATTTGCCGTGAACAAGTTTGCTACTCAGTACTGTCATCTGGCAGATACAGGTGAAGAAACGAGTATTAATTCACGAGGACCGCATTTTTGATATAACATGACATTGATAGAGTCAATTGTATTTTTTTTATGCGGAAATTTGTTGTTATTGTTAATGTTACAAATGATACGCCGCCATGCACACCACGTACGGTACGGTGCGGAGTTCATGTGTACTCTACTGTACGTGTGTGGGCAATGGGAATGGGTAATCATGTAGTTACGGGCCCGGTTCCTTATGGTTTTACCATGGAGGAGGAGACGAAATCAACTTTCAATTTATTTGACTTACTGAACTAGTTTGCGATATTAAGATTGCAGTAGGTTCTAGATAGGGCATAGTTTTACTTTTGAATTTTCTAGGGAAATTTGGAGGATAAAATGTCGATATATAGGCCGCGTGCCTGTATCGATATTTTCAAACTCTATATACTATAAATTAAAAAGTGGAAGGCTGAGGTGGGATAAAAGAAGTGGGCAAGGAGGAGAAATTGGTTTATTTTTTTTATTTGGCCGAACCACAACGTGAAATTTTACACATTGGAATAATTTACGTGCTTTAGTCGAAGTAACTTTGGCCCAACTAGTCGGGTGAACTGTCCGTCAGTTTTTTGTCTTAAAAGACATTTCTAAGAAGTTATCTTTTGAATATGCCTCCATAATTGTCCCATTTTTTATTTGTGTCTTACATTTTATTCTTGTATTTTATCAAACATCTTTCTTATGACCTTCTATTATAATTAGATGAATGTACTTTGCAGTATGGAAATATGTGTTGAGATGAATTAAATTTAACGAGTTCAGCTGCTTTGCTGTAAGTTAGGACATGTTGAACTGCCCCCCCCCCCCCCCGACACAGCCTCATCCCCCCACGTAAGTGAACAATGTAACTTGTAAGTCTTCTTCTAAAAGGTACTGGTACACTAATCATAATGCATTCACTTACAGAGCAAATAACAGGAGTTATGGACAAACTTTGAGCTTCGTATACATAGCGCACCGATCAATGTTGTAGCCCTACCACCCTGCTTTCTACACACACTATGTCTTCCATGGAGCTGTACCAGGTGGGCGGGACCGAGAAGATCCGGAATTTGGAGGAGGGACTTGCCAAGGAGCTGACGGACCTCCAGAATGACATCGAGGAGAATGAGATGATTGGGGGCTCACACAAGACTGCCAGGTAATGCTTCCAATAGCAGTAACTAATATACCGAATATTGAAATACAATATATTCGATCATCAACAGAATATCTGAGTGGCATTTTTTAATCAAGTTATCAAAAAATTGTGGGCTGTCTCAAGGAGATGATGAAAAACCTCCAGGATGTTATTTTTAACCATGCATGTAAGTTCAGTGGTTTATTGTTTTGTCCAGTGCCAATTTTGTGAAAATTGGCCCCTTTCATGCATGGTTTGACAGTATCACTGGGGATTATAATCTGAAATTCTTCTTTAGAATATCGTCCATTCCACTAACTGTCTCAATTCTCTCTGCAGGCATAGGCGAAATCCCATTCACGTTTGCTGGCCAATAATTGAATTCTAAATCATTCGAAGTGAGACCACCCTGTCTCATGCATGCCAAGCTGCTAGCTTGTTGCATAACGACTGTCAACATGCTGTGATCAAGCACTGAACACACACTTGCTGCATCCTATCACAGCTGCTGCATTATTTATTGATATACATTTTGTACATGCATGTACATATATACTTCAGTTTTTCTGTTTTGTTGATGATGTCGTGTTCCTTGAAAGTGCAGTGCTTTCTTCAGATGTGTTTTTTTCCTATAAAACAACAGTGTCTGAAGGGCATGTACATCTACATAAAGTTTTTGTATTTGACTTATAGCTCCGGCTCCTTGCCAAAGGGAACTGACCATTTTCGAAAGCAGAGAGAGTTGGTTATCAAGAGAGCAATGGAGGTAAGTTTAAAGGGACACTAGGTCCTGGAACAACCCAATTGGGCTACAAAATGCGCTTTGAACGAGATTATGTTAACGGGAAAGAACATTTAAAACTAGGATAGAAACATCCACACAACTATCCTTTAAAAACTGGGCGTTTTTGTGTTATTCCTGTATTATGCGTGCGAGAACGAATTTCGGGGTCCACTTTTGCGACCCCATAAATTCGAGCCGTTGGGATGCTAGTTGTGATTTATTCGTACGCGTAAATTGTTTGCCTTTTGCGGACGTTGAAGAAACCACAATTTTTTGCATTGGTGATTGGTCACCGCTGTTCCCGAGACACACAAAGTGTATATCGTACACTGTATAAGAACGACACAAAAAACGTATTCGTACTCCGTCGTGTCCGATGTAAACAACCGGTTTTTTTTTTTGTCTTTTCTCGGGAACGGTAAGTCATTAGGTTGGTTTCCTTTCAACCACATGTTTGAAATTGGATAAGTAAACAATCCAAAACATGACATTTTGGGGGATTTCAGGACCTAATGCCCCTTTAATTCCTGAAAAGAGGCACTCAAATAGTAGACTTGTGTGTAAAGCAATTGTGGAGATGCTGTCAGAAAAATATTATGTCAGTTTCGACGATTTTCTCTGCCGTCTCCTCCTTTTTCAATAGTCATAGCTGCTCCAAGCTGGCGGTGTTGTGTAGGCGCTTGCCGACCGCCTTCAGGTTGTTGTCGAGAACGATTGCTAGTGTGGTACGAGGGCGTCCTCACCAACCTTCCATGCCTGCTTCTGTGCCAAAGTACTCATGGATGAATTTCTGAGTTGACTTAGTACACAAAAAGTACAATTAGCAAACCAATACTTATCAAGAAAAAGGAATTAAAAGTGCCATGTAAATGTTCAGATCTTGCACCTCTGCAATTTTTTTGTCATGGATCCCTTGTTCTCAATGTCAAGTTCTCTCACAGCCCATTTCTGCCCCAACTACAAGTCCGATATGAAATCAGCACAGTCTGTTGCAAGCATGTGCATGTTCGCAAAGACTTTACAGTCTTAACAATCTGTGATAAGTTTTTTAATTGTCTTGTTCTAGGTGAGCGAGGCCCTCCCTTTGGTCATCCAGGCTGCCGTGATGAAGGAAGAGATGGAGATCAGTCTACAGAAGGAATACACTGAAGACAGTCTACCACTCATCTTACACCAGGTGGGTTCCCGGACTTTTTTTTAGGGGCCTTGACAAGAATTATGGTTTGACTTTAATGTAGGACATATTTCAGTCTTTCTGGGAGTTAAATTGCGGGCAAAGGGAACCTACATGTATGTCTACCATTGCTTACGCTTCAACCACTCGAGCTTCGCCTAATGCATGATGCATGCCAAGTGCAAGTACATGTATGACACTGGTGCATTGCAGATTCATTTTGACGATAATCTGATGCATTTTTGCTATGAACTCAATATTGAAAATTTTGATATTGTGATACATGTATGATTAAAAAATTGGCAATATTGATATCGAAATAATATCAAATAATTGGGTAATATCGATATATCGATGGTGCTTTTTAGCAGTTACTCAAAAATTGGGAATTTGTTTTCTTGTTCCACAGCATTTCTGTGATCGTATCCAGCAGTTAGTCCAGTGCAAACACATGCACGTGCTGCGCTGGAAGAGATTCTGTGAGCACACCAGTGCATTGGAGGCCCTGTACGCACCATACCAGAAACGATTAGCGTAAGTCCTATTTGAAAATGTCTGTAGGTCAATGTGTACCATTTTTGTTTTACTGTACAGGGTAAAAAAAACAAAAACCCAAATGGCAGGACCAGTTTTTGAATGAAGTTTTGCCTGTAGTACTTTCAAAATCTAGAATATGAAAGCCCAATCAATGAGCTTTCTTTTAGTGCAAGAATCATTCAAATCACTTGTATACTTTTCAAGTTATGGAATTTTGAACACAAACACTGTTTTGATGTTCTGTCCACGGATCACAAAAAAATGTAAGTGTTCTTTTTGCAAAACGAAAACAAATCACATGCATCCCTACGAGAATGTCATTTATCATTTCATGGTCCTGCCATTTGCGTTTCATTTTTTTTTTACTCGGCCTGTACTTTTTAATAACACAAAGTATGCTAAGTGCTGAAACGTGTACATGTTCAAAATATAGAAATGAGAAGTGTTCAGAGAAGTTATACTGACAAGAACTTCTCTTACAAGTATAAATCGGTTACATTGATCAGCAGCCATCTTTGATAGGATAGGGCTGTCCATTTCTGAATATATTAGCATTTGATTATTTGAAACTGCATTTGACCGAATATTCCATTGTTCGAAACTCGCTGATCAGGTTTTACATTTGCCAGCTGCAACAGCACGTTGCGCCGGTCAAAAGTTGTACGCAAAGCGCGCTAGTTAAAGTTTGTGTGCTGCATCATTATTATAGGCAACTGGAGTGTTTTGCCATAGGCCCAAGTATGTTGTAATTGTCAAGGGCTTTAACCAGTTCGCGTCAGATGACGTGTATACCCGCAAAGGTTTTGCGGTATTCGGAACGGATGACTGATCAACACGCAGGGAGCGAGGCCGGAAAATATCTGTCTGCAACCTGCTCACTGCGCTGGAAATAAGAGGTCAAGTGAAAAGTAATCCTGCGCCTTGTTCCGTTCTTGTCAAAATAATCCCGGCGTGAACTGGTTAACACGCTAAGAGGATGGAAACAATGTACCGTCGTTGACCAAAAAGTTACTGTCGACAAAAAAATGGCATCTGAAAGTAAAGCGCCACAACTTAACAATTAAATTAATATTACAGTCGTGTGTGTACGTGCGTAGTTTTTATTTTTTTTCTTAATATTGGAACTGGCAAAGAGCTATTTGAATATTCTATTGATTATCAAATCTTCAAATATTGGGTATATTCGGGACAACCCTAATCTTTGAGGTGCACGTATTTAAATGCGTATCTGTTTCAGTAGAAAGAATCACATTATATCAAGTTTATGAAGAAACCCCTTTTGTTACTTCAATTGTTTTTTTTTTTCCAGGGAGATAATGGCCGAGTATTCTGATGCGATTGCTCGTTCTCGCCGCCTGTCGATAGCCCACGAGGCCTACCTCATGGGCAAAGTACCAGCTCACAATCAGATCACTGAGGAAGATCTGGCCATCTACACACGCTGGCTGACGTGCCATCTGCACTCGGTCAAGAAAATACATGCATACCTCCGGGTAGGCTCAACATTGTCTCACTTATGGCTTTAAAGATGATTTGATATGTTAGTTTTTAATTAAGTTTTTAAGTTAACGTATGCCTGTAGATCATTTGAAACCCTGAAATTTGTTTGAGACCGGGGTTTCAGAGTCACAATGAGCCAAATGGTATAGAGTGACTAGTTGACCCTAATAGATTTTGTTTTCTTACAGGCAAATTCTGTAATTTATATTCATAAATACCTGAGACAGTTTACCCATGCCTATTGTTTGAGAGCCCACCACATGGGTGGTTTTAAACCGCTGGTAAAACACTGCTGTGTTCTGTGCCACATCGCTCAGTACACACCGTGTGCGCCGTGCACACGCCAATTTCCTTAGGAGGAGATTTTTAGCACTATGAGCATGAATCACATGTTATAGACATGGCCAGAAGGGTGTTCACAAAACAGGAAGTAAAATTGTTGAACAAAAAATTGGAAATTTGTGAATTTTTGAATTGTTTAGAGCTTTTGACCAAAAGCTTAGTTATGAGGTACAATGTATGTAAAAAAAAATTGAAGTCTGTCATGAACCAATATGGCCCATCAGGCCGGTGTTTATCTCCGTTTTTAGTTGCATGAAAGAACTGAGAATATTTCTACTCCCCCTGGATGGGATGCTAGTCCATCGCAGGTTACTTCCCAGTGAATGCCGGTACCCATTTGTACACCTGGGTGGAGAGAGGCACTTGGGGGTGAAGTGGCTTGCCCAAGGACACAACATACGACCAGCAGCTGGATTAAATATATGCCTGGCTTGTATTAAACAAGTATGTTGGAAACCGGCTAGGGGCCTGGTCGCGGGAAATGGCCCTATCCTTGGGCTAAGTGGTACAGGTATTTACAGGTTGTACTCATTTTCTTCCGTCTTTTTTCCCCCTGTATGTCAAGGTTCTGGAGTGGCTTCCAGTGTCTCACAAACACGAGTCCCTGCCCCATCCACAGCAGCAACATGTTCAGGATGCAGGACAATTAGACCCAGAAGAGGATGACCAGAACCTGATGACGGCCCGGACATCCCGGTCCCAGTCCGGGACCGTCCCCATCATACAGAGCCAGGGCCGCTGGTCCATCTTTGACGGCCGCATGTCGCTGACCGAGACCTCGGCTGCGCTGTCCAGCATGGGTAGGCTGTCCCTCGCTGACCAGTTCCGACAGCCGTCCCCGCTTGTAGAGCAGTCGGAGTCGGACGGTGCCAGCGACACCGCCTCTGTCACCTCCTCATCTGTTAACATGGGCGGCACTAACACAGTACCTCATACTGCACGGGCCATTGCTGCTGCCTCGGCCGCAGGTCAGATCAGTAACATTCACAATAGAGCAGTGCTGTAGTCCAGATATTTCCAAGACCTTTCCGGACACTCTCATTTTTTTTTTATCAATTATGTCAATTTTCACAGAAGCCAAACCAAGCCAAATAAATAGTCTACAGTGTTTAATTTTTTGATGAACTATATGATGAATTATATGTGGGCCATTCCATAACTTTGGGGTCCACTTTTTTTCCTGTCCGTAGTCTGTCATGATTTCACAAGGCTGATGCACACCTGCATGCTGTCATCCTCCAAAAGCAATTTTTAAAACAAACTACCTATCCAACAAACACTGTAAAAAATCATTTGAAATCATTCATAATGATACTTGATGGCAAGTTACAAAGCACCAAGGTACAGAGGTTGAATCTTTGCACATGCTGTAAAAAAGTGCTGTTCAGAGTAAAAATCGCACTGAGACCATTAAAGAGATCCATTCTCCTTCATATTGAATGTTTCTTTTACATCTCACGTTTAATGTTGATACAGTCCAACTCTTTGCACGTGCATAGGCAAAACATTGAGAGTCTTTTGTCTTTGAATCAAATCAGTGTTCAATCATAGGCATTTATGTGAGGTCTTGGAAAAGTTCTGCGCTACAACACTGCAGCAGAGCTGTGTGTAACTCGCCGGAGTGCTAACTACTGTCAAGCCATATTGGCACATTTTTGTCAGTTTGTGATTCAAGCAAATAATGTTTATCACTTGTCAGAATTTGTACTGTTCAGTGTGCTTTACTTTTCAATTTAAGTGGGTCTTTCAAAACAAAATCTTTCCTGATTTGCATCAACAGTCAGTTATAAAAAGAGTGATGTTGGTTTATGTTTTTATGTGCATGAACTGCAATACCAGTTTGGTGGAAGGCGAATGAAAAATTCAGAGTAAACCAAATTCTCTCGGATGCAAATATCCATCATGAAACAAAAAACCCAATCGTGTAAAAAAGCTGTTTGCAGCCATTGGTTTTTGACCACTCAAGGACTTTCGTAAGTTACATGCAGCTTTGCGATAACAAGTAGGGCCAGTTGTACAATGCATGAACCAAATTAAGATAGTTACACAATGCTAGATTGCTCCCCCAGAAAACAACTTTGTTTAAAAATCATTTTTAAGTAGATAAAACATTTGCTTATAAATGAAAACAAAAATGACATCCTCAAATCCCTTTTAAACTTTTTTTCACGGGCAAATGAAATCAGCTTTTACATATTCTTGCGATAGTTGTTTGTACAACTGGCTCTATAGAACACTAATTAAATGTATATATTCATATTTTATTGATTAGGGACTTTAAAAAGTCACTTTCAACAATAATACATGTATAATACCATAATGTCTAGTTGGAATCAACTAATATGTAAATTTCTCCTAAATATAATTATGATCACGTGACATATAATTGGACTAACTCACAGAAAACTCCTTTTTTTGTACTTGAAACCAACAGTCTTTTAACTGCAAAAGGCAAATGAGGAAAAACATAAAAAACTGCCAACAATTGAAACATGTTTTAATAAAGGCATGTAAGAACATCTGAAATTATCCAGAAACGTACCTACATATTTAACCCCCCAAAAAATCATTGCTGTGAAATTATCGTGCATGAAATGATATCATTTGGAAGAAACAATCGTTGAAGGTGTTTGTTTTTTGGGGGGAAAGTGTGCCAGCGAGCACAGTTTTTTTACATGCATTTAGCAACGAAGTCCAGTTAGGAGACCCTTAATATGTAGACATTTTTTTCTGTTTTCTCAAAATGTATTGTATCCACTGATCTGAAAGTTGTCAGTTATTATACACCCTTCTTAAGATTTTGAGCAATTTTATTGCTAAAAAAAGAGGACAAAAATGCAAATGTCCTTTAACCATAACTTTACTGTTCATTTTGTAGCACTGCAAAGTTCCATTTCATCACTGGTAGCCATTAGTATGAGGTGTATTTTAAAGGAGCAATTTCACTTGGAGGCATATAAATGTATACCAGCTCCAGGAGTACAAGAGATGTGTCCAGATCTCTATGCAGTTTCGCAGTGCGAAAATTATCTCGTGTTGGAAAATCACCGTGTGTACATACAGAACATCAATCCAAAGTTTCTACTTGTAGCAAATCAGTGACCTCACATCAATTGCCTCATCAACGTATAGGATTACATGTGTGTCCCATCTCACATGCACCACTGAACGTTTAGTACAAACTGCACTGAATCATTTACCTAGCAAAAATACACCAGTAGCAAAGTGAAAAAGGCATTTACTTTAAAGAAAAAAAAAAGAGTTTGGGGTGTTTGACAGTTCATTTGTTTTTATTTGTTTTTGTTTTGTTTAAACACCTGTCGAATGATGCCTGACAATTGACAAAAAAATTCTAAACTTTTATACAAAATCTGTCCGTCAATTTGGGTATACCACACTGTACTCAGTTTAGTCATGGTGGTGGAATAATGTAACAAATAACAACATGAACACCTACATTGTATGTACTTAAACCATAAATTAATCTATGTTTCTCCAGTGTAACAATAAATTATTCAGTTAATCATGTGTAGCAAAATGTACTGATGCTAAAAATTGACCTGGGCTGTTTGATATGTTCCTTGTGATTGCAGCTTGTATTTCAAATGGAGCTGTATCAAACTGAGAGATTCTCACAAACAGCAAGAAGCAACAATAGCCTTTCGTTGCGAGATTTCTCAAGCCCATATAAACACTGAACAGTTGCTCACGCAAATGCTGCCCCTTTTGTGATAAAAAAAAATGAGCAACATGGTAATAGAATAACACAAAATTAATGACGTCACATAAATTTGACAATGACCATTGTATTCAATATTCAGTTTAGCCCTTTACGGACATATCACCTTTATATTGTAGGCCATTTAAATTGCGGCATCCGAGACACATTTTAACAAAATGAATAACGAATTTCCATTGCATGACATATAACTGCGATGGAATGCACACATGGCACAGGAGAAATATCCATTGTCAATCATATTTTCTGTTTGTACCTCATTAGGGGGTGGGCCAGCCTCCAACACCGACACGCTAGGCATACCGTGTCATGCCACAGACATGGACCGCATCAAACCAGTACTGGAGTTTCTCATGTCCTGTTACGGCATCCATGCGGTGAGTAATAGCTGGGCAGCTTCTCTGAACTGACATTGCAATGTTTGATGGGAGGGAGTATAGCCTTGTCTACAATGACACATCACGTTTGTTTTTTTTCGTCATGCACGTCCATGGTTTTTTTTCAAATTTTCCGCGTTAGCTACAACAGTGCCCTCAATTGCTGCACCGCCTAAAATTTTCGTTTAAAAACAGGTTTATGTTGTTCTGAAAGTGTAGCAGGGCTTGTTTTTAAAACATTTTGGAGGCAAAGTCCAAGTCATGAAAGTTGCCTTGGCTGTATGGGAAATGTGAAGGAAAACATGTAGGGTACCTAGGCAAACGAGGGGCACCGAGCAGATGTGGAGGACACCTAGGCATGGGGAGAGCCGGGCCTCTCCTGACGAGCAACTGCCCCCCCCCCCCCTCCATTGGCAAAAACCATAATTAAAAAAAATTATATACAAGTGTGCTTTTTCTTGTAGTGTGCCCCCTGGTTGTACTGTGGCCCCCCCCCCCCCCAATGCCCGGAGGTGGTGACGGTGCTGATACATGTATGAACTGGTAGGCTTGCAGCAAGCTTGCATACATAATGACAAGCTTGCGTATATAAAAGCAAACTTGCACAAAGCTTGCATTCATACTGGTAACCTCGGAGCATCTTGCTGTACATACTGGTTGGCTTGCTGCAAGCATGCATACATAATGACATTCTTGCAGCAAGCTTGCATACAAAATTGCAGCAAGCTTGCAAATACAAATGTAGGAAGCTGGCAGCAAGCTTGCATACAATTACATACATGTACTGGCAGTCTCGGGGCAAGCTTGCCATACATATATATTGGTAGGCTTGCTGCAAGCTTGCACACATCATGACAAGCTTGCAACAAGCTTGCGTCCAACTTGCTGCAAGTTTGTATGTACACAATGAAAACCATCAACTTCGTTGAGCTTGTATTGATACTGGCAAGATTGCAGCAAGCTAGCATACACACTGGTATGCTTGCACATGCAAATTTGTTTGCTCCATACCATCATCAAATTGTACTGTAGCGCCAGGAATTTTTTTGTAGAAATTAAACCATTTTAATAGGCAAAAGTGCTTCTGAGAATGGTGTTATCATTCTGAGCATTGCCTATTTGTTGAATGTATTTTATTCTTCTATGAACAGAACCTAGATAGAATCAACGGTCCGTCAGATGAAATGGAGCTGCTATCCCATGTCAACCGGCGCTTCAAGACTGTATTTGCCAGACAGGAGGAGCAGAAGACATTTCCTACATATGACAAGCTGGAGGTAAGACCTACTTGTCTTGTAACTTCCATCATGTTATGTTTGGAATGATCAAAGTCGTCAATTTCATTTTTACTTGACAGTCATAAACTCCTTGCCCAACAGTACAGGTGATTTTGTAGGATTTTCAAACAGAATCATCTTCAAACAGAAAACAGAGATTACAAGAGATTGGATTTGTTTCCAGACTTTTGTCAGTAATGTCAAAAAACATGAACCACTTTGACCAGAATTTATTCGGTTAATTTTATTGATTTGTGTGTTTTGAATGTCAATATTGAAAGTTGGTTCCTCTAACACTGTGAATTGAAAAAAATGGGAGTGGAAGCCTTCAATTGCCATTAATGAAATTGATTTATTGTAATAAGTAAATATTGTTTAATTCTGAGTTCCGGTCCAACCTGAATGTTTATGCATTTGTGAATTTTGTTTTTTACAAGCTCGTAAAAAGCAACGAGCAAATTTGCAGTGAAGGCTTCCCAACAATTAACTGCAAATTTGAATCACAACCTCAATTTTATTTTGGTTTATTTTTCTTTGTTTCCAGATGGGTAATGAGTCTTGGGGAGCTGATGTTTCCAACCACGCTCTGATCAAGGAATCCAACTGGCTGCCTTTCATTAAACTCAAGTAAGGATAGAAATGACGGCTTGTGTGGCTGTGCATGTCCACTTGGAAGAGAGAGGGAATTATCACATTATTGAAAATGCACAGCCTTGTTTGTGAAAGGTCAGATCAATGACAGACAAAAGTGCCCACATTTGCTGATCCAACTTGCACCTAACACATACAAATGAATGTTTTGAAAATGTATGCATTTTTATGTGGGGGAAAAAAGTTTAGATTTGTTCTTGCTGGTTACTTCTGGTATTTTTTTGGTCATTTTGCTTCATTCATGTCATTCTTTGTTCTAAAAAAGGGAAAAAATGTGTGCTTGGAAGGTGTTGAACACTAAGACTAGTTTAAGACTGCCTATACGTGAGGATTGTGAATGTTCAACCAATAAAATGGTAAAGGCACTGGATTTCATAGGTGTCAAAATTCCATGTGACACTGGAAAAGTGACCAGCCAGCCATGTCTTTATCATCTGTTTAAGACTGGCCACGTGGCGGGCTCTCGACCAATGGGAATGGGTAAACTAGCTGTCCTAGGTATTTATGAATATAAAGTAAAATGAATCCTAAACATTTACCCTCTTCAGCGTTGTAGGCACGTAGTGCATGGAAAGCATTAAGTTAATTGTGAAATGTCTAACTTTTTTTATCCAGAGCTAAGAGAGACCCTAAACAGGAGAAAATGCTGACCAAGCTGCGACACCTAGGCAATGTGGATGAGCTGCTCAGAGCACAGAGCCGGTTCTTCTCAGTCAGTGATGTCAACGTGAGTACTTTAACTTGGTCAATTTTGTGGTGAAGGTTTATGCTTTACTTAAAGGTAACGTCCATCATTTGTAATTTCTGCATCATGCTCGTTTGAAGCAACAAAAGTGCTCAAAATCTAAAGAAGGGTGCTGAACAACTAACCTGATGAAGTTTCAGCTCAGCTTAGCTGTATACTCTAAAAAAAAACAATATTCCAGGATCTCGATTTCAAATCAAAAGTTGCTGAGTCATGTTTTGAATTGGGCCTGAATTCAGCGTCCGAGACACGTTCTCACTGAGCCAATTACAGCTACGCGATGCGGCGCACTGAACCGACAAGTTATAGCAACCCAGCGCACGTATACATCATGTCAACGCTTGCGTGCTTGACCGAATAAAAAATGAACTATTAACGGAAATTTCCAACGATGCATCTGTAGAAAACATTGACGAGTTGTTTCATGACTTGTAATTTTGGAATTCCTGAGGTTTTCCCACGAAGGTGTTTTTTACCTGTTGAAGAAATATAGAACAAGTGAAATTGATATTTTAAGGGGTGCCTTCAGGAAAATACAAGCATTTACCATAGAGTCTTCTTTGCTCAGCCCTCGGCAACCTCGAACCCTCGCTCTGCTGATTATTTTGTGGATTTTTCATTTTCCCCCCTTATTTCACCGCTGACTACTCTTGACAATGCAGAAAGTTCAAGATGCTTTGAAGGAGCATGCCGTTGCCGTCCGTGACCCGCCCCCTGTGCAGTCAGTATCAGTGACCTCGCATCGAACGACCCTGGACACCAAGAACGTGTGGAAACAGATATACACCAGCCCAGATCTATACAACAGGTAATAAAACGGGCCACTGATTTCCACTTCACTGGAAATAGAGTAGAATTAAACATCTGAACATGTCAATTGCATGTATGTTTATGTACATTATTTACCGACATTGGCACACTAGACGAAAAGGGTATTGCAAACCCGTTAGGCCAAAAAAAAAAGGCTCCGGTTTCTGGTATGGAGCTTGTCCAAAATGTGGTGCGGCGACGCGGCTTTTTTACCCGACTTTTTTGCTTCAAATGTCGGCTGATGACTGCAAATGGTGCCCGACTAAACTTAGTGCAGATATATGGGAGTCCAGAGAGGCCACATAAAGCTTATTCTCGATCATAACCCCATCTAAAAACACATATAAATTGCGCAGCAGTAGAATTCCAGTCAAACCAGTGAGTTTGGCGGTTTTGAGACATCATCTTTCATTAAAAAAAAAACTTTTTCATTTTGCCGACGCGCATGGCTACGACGACGCGCGCGCATACCAGAAACCGGAGACTTTTTTTTTTGGCCTTAGCATCTATACTACATTGAATTACTTTTTATTTATCAAATTATTAATAATAATAATTATAATACTTTTTATTTATTCTATTTTGAATCCATAAAACTATGTAGTGCTGGAGCGATTTGGGGCATGGGTGTAGTACGCACGTGCAAACGTCACACCTAGCGCTACACATGAAAAGATGTTTGAACACTGAAATGTTAATCAACGTTTTCCTGAGTTCAATGATACAGGGAAAGTTAACTGGAGAATATTGTGTCTAATAAAGATGCCTCCCCTACTAAAAAAAAGTTGTCCACAATTCGGGCATATTTAAACTCTCAGGAGTAAGGTGCTGTATTGCGAACTAACTATCCTTTTCTGAGATTGAGCAATAATATTCTTCTGAAGATTTTATTCCCGCGAGGTGCATTCGGCAACTGAATATGTATGAGGTAAACAAGTATAACATGGTTTATCTTGGGTGATGGACAGTCGACATTAGCTCCCTTCCGTATTGGAAGTTGACACTTACCATGCTATCAAAAAAATTTTTGCTACTGGTAACCCTGTAAGTACAGATCTAGTCTTAAGTTATGGGATGTATGCATGCACAGAAACTAAATTCCTCACTAACTCGGGAAATATGCTAACTGTGAGCGCGGAATTTTCTGCTATAGTCAGCGGGTATTTGTATACATGTATAACTATTTTCATTTCCATACCCTGCTTCCCAACAGCGCTGGCCCATCTGACGACATAGCCCTCACTGACTTTGATGAGAAGGACGTGGACAACGTCAACCTGAGCTCAGGCTCTCGCTCCAACAGTGCCCTCGCCTCCTCCCGGCGACGCAAGAAGGAGGACACCGATGAGTACGACTACGCCAGTGCCTTGCAGCTGCTGGGGCTTGAAGAGGACGATAGTAGCCAGCAGGATCCCACCGTTATCCAGGGAGGCTATCTGTCCTTCCTGCAGCTCAGACACCTCAAGATCAAAGATCTACAGAGGACTGTGAGTAGGAATGCATGTTCTTTTTACCATCCTATCCCCCTGTACTTATTTACCATCCAATCTACCTATGAGATAATGTCTGGTGCTATGGTATTCGACTCATGTCCCATGGTACATGACTTTGAAACCTGACGAGGAACATGCTGCATGTGTTTTTGGGCAAGACACTTTACTGCAATTGCCTCACTCCACCCAGGGGTATAAGAGGGTACCTGTGAAGCTAGAGACCAGATTGCGCTGTTCGCAAGTTGCTGCAGAAATTTTGTTTCATGGCTTGATGAACACGGGCAATAATTGTCAAACGCTTTGTGACCTTTGCTATGAAGCCAATATTGATAGATACCTTATTATGTAATGTCTGTAATCTTTGACAAATTTAATTCTTTTCAACTTGTATCATTTATATTAACGAAAAAACTGCTATATGTTTTTTTTTTATTTGTTGCATCTGTTGCCCTCTGTGGAAAAAAAATCAGGTTGTTTTTGCCCACAAACAGATGTGCCATGCGAGTATACTTGATCCTGGTCAATTCTGATAGATGCTGGGCAGTATCTAGTCTTCCTTGCAAATACTAAATTATCATCTGGCCGCAAATAATTTGAAATCTGTAAAGTAATTATTCCATAACTAACTGCGGGCTGATTGTTGTTCATTCCAAAGTGAATACATTTCGTTTTTGTAAAATACAGAAAAATACAAATTTAAAAAATATATATATAATAGGGGATGTAGCTCAAATTCAATGCCAGTGTAAAAAAAATATATTGTTTGAAAAAAACTTATTCCAACCCGTCCATAAATGAATAAGCACAAACATTTGTAAGTTAGCGGAGGTTTGTTTTCAATCTCTTCTAGATGAATAAATCAGTTTCTTTTCTTTTTTTCTACTATGCTAGTGTTTGAGTATTCTAAACTACTTCCGTTCAGTGGAGCGTACTCTAACCATAAATGATGGTGGGTTGTCATTGGAAGGAAAGCAGCAGAAACGCAACAGGTAACGACTACATTTCTCTTTATACTCATCTAGCCTACATGAGTGTAAATCAGTCTAGGTTTTTATAATCATTTCATTAGGCCCCCAAAACAGTCTTCGGTTTCTGGTGTAGAGCTTGCCCCAAAAGTGGTGCAGTGACGTGGCATTTTTTTTTTTCCTTCAAACGTCAGCTGATGACTGCAAAATGGTGCCTGACTAAATTTAGTGCAAAAGGTATTAAGTTTGGCCTTATTGTAATTTATGCGACAGACTGCTTTGAACATTTAAAAGGAAGCCAAACAATAAGGAAGCCAAGAGAACCTGAAGAGAAACTGTAGTGGTGAGAAGATTTTGTTTATTGGAGTTGAAGGGTGTTTTGGGAACATTTTGCAAATTGGCAGTGCAGTTTCTTGCAATGCAATTGCAAATTTGTGTTTGATGGGAAATAGAGCATTGATGCTGAATATTGATATTTTTGATGCAGAAAAGAATATGACATTTACAAAATATAAGTAAAGTGACAATGTCTTCATTTTTTGCAGTCTGTCGATCACATACATAAAGTGAAACTTTTTAATGGAAATTGAGCATCCCTATATGTCTCTGTTGTGTTAATTATAAAATTTAGGACCAATTTGCATATTTAAGTTGAGTGTAATAAAGCTGGTTAAATGTGGGTGGCACTTTGATTCATTGTAACCCTGTACGTCTTCGAAATCCATTTCGCTGTTGTCCACAAATGCGCATTCGTTGCACATTAAGAAAATCGAGCTTTCATGTTTGAAAGTGGGCTATACCCTCAATACCATTATAACCATATCAATCCAAATTTTGAAATTGATCAGAGTCTTTGATTTCTGCGGCTGCCAACAACTTTTGCAAGTAGTTGTTGAACTTTGTGTTTTGTTTTGACTGTTTTTTAGTAAGCAGAACCACAAGCAAGGCGTGAACGATGGTGGCCTGGGAGGGGGTGGCGGGCTGGGTAGTCATGGTTACCTGCACTACACTCCGGCTGAGTTCAAGTGAGTCTGACCTTAAACATAAATTGATCAAATAGTTGGAAATCGAATCACCATTAAAAAAGAAAAATAGAAAGATGCTTGGTTCAGATGTCTTTACCCATTAAAAAATGTTTTACATTGTGTCGGCCCTCATTCAATTGTGTCAGTACTCTGTCAGTACTCTGTCGGTTATGTTGTAACAAGATCGGGACTCGGTCATGAAAAAATTTAAATGAACGGATCAGAGTCGTAGCAAAGTCGTACCAAGTCATAATATTCGGTTCGAGGTCGATTGGGAGTCGTAGTATTCGGGACAACATCGCAGTACATTCTGATCATGGTCTGCAGACCGGAGCTCAGAATAAAAAATGTGAATTTATTTGGCGGCACATTTCCAACGTATTTGGTACGATTTTGTAGATATTTGATAAGTTTCATGGTCTTGGCGGGGTCTTGGTCTTTGGTCTTGGATGTGTGACCTGATGTCTAATGGGTTGAGAATGCATTTCAAATTCTTTTCCTTAGTCTGTTTTTGAATGTTTAAATTTATTTGCATTTCATATAAATGTATGTTTAGATCAAATTAAAGATTTTAAGCATGTTATTGGCAACTCTAGTTCTTTTACTTAAGAGAGTTGCATTGTGCCATAAAAGCCCTTTCAAAAATGTTCTGCATTTACTTCCTCTTTCTGTGAGAAATTCCAGAATGGATAGTGTTACTACAGCGCCCCAACTAAGTTTGGTGTCCGCAGACTATATATAACTGAAGCAAATTTGAGATGTGCATCCATGTTTTGGCCTGGTTCATCAAACATCTCTACATGAAATAAGACCTTTTAATGAGTTCCTTCGCTTTCATAAAATATCCTTCCCGATGTGTATGGTACACATCATTGTTTATCTATATTTTGTTTACTATGTACATATATTGATATTATTCAGGTTGAGTGAGTCTGAATTCATGGAGTTCTCAGAAGTAGAGAACCACGATGATTTCTACTCCTTTGATGAAGGCCGGGTGCATGTGCAGGATCAGCGAGGGTACTACATCATCTACAAAGCAGCAATGGAAGATTTCAAGTGAGTAGATGAGGAACTCCGGACTGAAAGTGTGTGAATGTCATAACAGACTTACTTGGGGAATGAAATTAGAAGCCATTTTGTGAAGCAGAACCACGTGTGCGACAGTCTTAAAGACTAAGTTAGTGCACATTTTTTTAACCCTATTTTGTCGGAAATAGAGTGCATGCGTACTGTCTGAGTGTGAAACTCGCGAGCCTGGTTCCACCTCAGAAAGCGGCTGTCACCGAATCAGTCTATATTGGTTAACTTGGTTCACACATGTACTTGTATGGCATAAAATTAGAAGCCGTTTGTGAGGTGGAGCCACGTTTATGCACCCCCTGCACGCAGTCTTAAAGAGAAGACGCGTGTACACTTTGGTAACCCTGTTGGTTGAAGGAGCCCAGTGGCGTAGCCAGGAATTTTGAAGTTGGGGGGCGCTGGGGGGGGGGGGGGGGGGGGGGCTGGAACATTTCATGGGGGGGCGTCAAGCAGGGGCGTCAATCGCTTCTCAAAGGTGGTGGGGGGAGACATACCTTGATCATAACTGATGCAAGCGCGAAGCGCGAAGCCCTTCCGGCGTTGGATTCTAGATGTTCTGTGGTGTGATTTGAAGCAATTTCTTACGACGTTCCTCCATGCTTTAACTAATATTTTCTTGGCAAAAGATAATTATTTGAACATCGAGGTTTGAGACATTGAATCAGCTATCGGTATTCTGAGCTATTGGCTTGGGGTTCGGGGCCCGCTTAAGGGCCCCGAAAAAAATTGGATTTTCGATGCTGTGTGGTGTGATCTGAGGCAATTTCTTACCACTTTAACCAATAATTATCTTAGCACAAAAGATAATAATTTAAACATAATTTTCGAGGTTTTCTCAGCTAAAGGCATAAGAAAATTTTTAAGAACATTGTTTTCGAGGTTGGAGTCATTGAATCAGCTACCAGAATTCTGAGCTATAGGCGTGGGGTTCAGGGCCCGCTCAAGGGCCCCGAAAAATTTTGGATTCTAAATGCTCTGTGGTGCTATCTGAGGCAATTTCTGACCACTTTAACCAACATTTTCTAAGCAAAAGATACATTGAAGTACATAATAGGGCCCATGGCGTCATGTAGATCAATGATAATTTTTTTAGAAACTCAAAATCTCAGTGGGGGGGCGACTGGGGGGGCGACAAGGTTTCATGGGGGGCGGTCGCCCCCCCACGCCCCCCCCGGTGGCTACGCCACTGAAGGAGCCCAAAGTGCCTTCTGACTACCTTAGCGTGACTCGCGTGAGCCTGGTTCCACCTCAGAAAGTGGCTGTCACCGAACTGGTCTATATTGGTTAACACACGTATGGCATGAAGTACACATGATTAAGTTTCATCTGAATGTGCACATAGCATCTACACATGGGTGCCTAACAAACAGTGCATAGACTGTCCAACTCTTTTTTATTGCCAGCATTGAAAGCATACCAAGCATAAAGCACGGGTTTCTTCCCTCTATCCTTATAAAATATACAGCAGTCTCACTCATGTGTGATGCGATCGAGCTATCTGAGTCGTTTGTCGACCCTGGTCAATATTTTTTTTTATACAGAGCACAATCTTAACATTACTGCTGTGAAAACTGTATGCGGGTACCATCTTTAGATACAAATTTATGGAAGTTGGAACACCAAGAAATGTGATGAAGTGAAGTGATGAAGTGGTCCTATTTTGGCCTGAATTTCCAAATGAAAAAAAATTCCCGACAAACGACTCGTGTAGCCTGATCGCATCACATATTTTCACGATGTATTTTTTTCACTTAATTTTTTTTAAGGCAAATGGAGAAAGATGTCAAATGGGTTTAGGATGCATTTCTAATTTTTTTTTAAAGGCAAATGGAGAAAGACCTGCTGTTGATTGCCACTTGCTTCATAGAGAAAGATCGGGAGAACAGAATTGGCAAGATAGGGCTGGGTAAATCTAGCTCACAGGGCCGCAGAAAACAGGTATGATAATGTTGTGCTGCACAAAGTTTGTATTATCACAATGTAAAAAAAAGCAAAAGAACTATACGGTCTGCTAGTAAACCATTCGCATAATTGTATACAAATTCAATGAATTTTAATACCTCATCCATAGATCATGTGTATCTTGATTGGCTGGAACCACTAGTGTTTTTTTGTCTTTATGCACATTAAATATACATGCTGTTGTACTTTTCTGACACAACAGATGTTGAGTACAAACATTTTATCAAGGATAAACTTGGAAAAGTACAAGTGAAATTCCAACGAAATTCAATATTAAAAACAAATTATACATAAATGTGTATTAGTTTTCAATATCTCTATTAAAAACTGCAGAATCTTGGTAGGGTGTTTAACAAAAAATTGACAACTTTAAATTGTGGTATAGTGAACCTAGCCCCGAGGTGATCTGTAAAGCATTCTTGATTTCCTTTGGTGAAGGCTAACCAGTTTCCTTAGGTAAAGGTAAAGAGGGACGAACCTGTGTTTACAGGAACGGAGTGCCCATCTCCCTTTCAAAGCGATTGGGCCAGACTCGAGTCCATGAAATGCTGCTGTGGGGGGATCGCCACCTCCTCCACAGCGAGTCTGTTACCTTCCCAGTATTGAATAATGCCGGTACCCATTTAACACCTGGGTTGAGAGGAGTTATTGAAGTAAAGCGCCTTACACAAGGGCACAACACGCATGGCCACGGCGGGGCTCAAACCCACAACCTCACTATCATGAATCCTGTACCCTACCGCTAGACCACACGTGACCTCTTTGGAGTCTATAGTTGAACTATACCACTCGAAGCAGTCAATATTTATGTAGTGTCCCTCATGTATTAATCAGTCCCAGGCAGCCAGTGACGTGGACCTACCCAGCTATGGCCATCAGCAGGTGGATCGGTTTGCCGTCCTGCTGGACCTGTGGTCTAACGAGACAGCCTTCCTGGAGAACAAGAGACAGGTCAGTGGCAGATAGGGTTTAACCTTGTACTCAGAGTCTAGTTTAGCTATATAGTCATATCAAAAGAACCCTGGTTGGGCACTGCATTAACAAGGAATTTTATAGGGCTGTATGCTTTATTGACAATATATGCAATATTAGTTATCGACTTAGGTCACATCGGCAAAAGACTTGGTGTAGGACTCGGATGCATTATTTCCCAAGAGAAATTATCATTTATAAACGTACTTCTGATGTTTATTCTCTGAAAGTAAAGCAACGCATGGCAATGAAATTTTTAATGCACACCTTGAAAATGTGCCTTTGCATCCCATTAAACTGTATTTTCATTTTGCCATTTTCATTGGTACTTTAATGCCTTTTTGTTTTTATGCTTATGCAAATTTCTGTTTTCATGAGCAAAACTGTGATGTCATTTCAGGCAGAAACCTCAATGTTACAGCTATTTCAGCACAAAAATTTGCAAGAAATTTGGACACTTTGCCGTCGTAGATTTGTTTTCTTTGATGATTTGTTGTTGTGTTAGTACATGGTAGTATTAACCAATGAGCAAACCTTTCTCACAAATGTTTTCAATGAGCAAATTTTGGGTTCAAAATTTAAAAAGAAAACCCCTAAACTGAACAGTGTCTTCCTGAAATGACATCATAGCAACACCACCCTCAGTTGTCTGGAAAAGCATGGAAAATGTTTAAAGATTTGCATTTTTCAATAAAATTAACCAAAAAGGGATGCAAAATAGTTTTACATTTAACCAGTTAATGCCAGATTTATTATGACATTGACGTGACCCAGGTGAGAGATTATATTTCATGAACCTCAACGCCAGATGGTTTCAGGCCATGATCTGCGGGTAGCTCACCCTGATATTTCCGGCCTCGCTCGCAAAACTTTGCGTGTTCACATGGCCTCAGGCACGAACTGAAGAGGAGTAGAAAGTTGCACAAAATGTTTGCCTAAGAAATATTAATTGCATTAAGCACATGAACAGTACTTCACCAATCTCCAGGTGGTGTTGCAAATAATGTTTGTTATTAAATGCACCCTTCCCCAATTCCAGCACAGTGCATCACTTACAGATCGCTAACATGTATGTGTGTCCATGTCCGTGCATGTGTATTTCATACAAATATGGCTCAGACAGAGACTTGAATCAAACGATTGGAGACTCAAACTCGCAGTAAATCCAAATGACTGAAAGCTTGGACTGGGACTCAACTGAAGTGACAGTTAAAAGTAGTTCTCAATTGATCTGGCCTGATCCTTCAAAACGATGAGTCTGATTACAGAACTGAAATAGAACAATTTGTTCAATGGTGCAACGACAATTTCCTTATGCTAAACGTATCCAAAACAAAAAAAGTTATTTTTGACTTTCGTAAAAAACAACATAATGCCGGTCAAGTTAGCATTAGAAATGAACAAGTGGAAAATGTCACAGAGTACAAGTATCTTGGAACAGTCATTGATAACAGGTTAAACTGGAACAAAAACACTCAGAGAATGTATACCAAGGCAAACCAGAGGCTTTATTTTCTCAGGAAGTTAAGCTCTTTTAATGTTCGTGATTCAATTTTGCTTTTATTTAACCAGAGTGTTGTCCAGTCAATCATTTCTTTAAGTTGCATTGTATGGTACAATAACTCAACTGTAAATAACCGGAAAAAAATTGAGCGGATCACAAAAACTGCAAGAAAAATAATTGGTCTGGAAGTGAAACAGGTGAACGAAATTGTTGAAACAAATTATCTCACGAAACTGCAGACTATAACTCAGGACCCAACTCATCCTCTGCATTCATCTATACAGTCACTCCCATCAGGAAGATTACGATTGCTCCCCACACACACAAACCGGTTCAGATTTTCTTTTTTACCTAGTGCCATTCACCTTTATAATTCTAATTTTATCAGATAAATACTGTTTGTTTGCAATGTTTTTACAATTCAGATTAGACCTTTTTAAATGAATAACCTAGCATGTCAGCATGCAGATTTGAATACTTTTTATAACAATATAGCTTTTTGTTTTCAAGCTTCTCTTTTTTTAAAGTTGGGATTTTTGCTGGTGGTTTTATACTAAATATACTGGTAAATCTTAAGTGTCTAAATATATGTATGTTGTTTTTATGTGCACATTGGGAAGAAGAATTTCACTTTTAAAGTCTTTTAATTGTGATGAAATAAAATATTGTATTGTATTGTATTGTATTGTATCTTGCTTGCAGTTACTGGATGTTTATTTAGAGGCCTACCAGCACGTCTTTGACATGCATGAGAAGCGCTCCCTTGCACAGGTCATCACCAACATTGCCTACCAGCGACCACGCTTTGACCTGAAGGCTGACTACTTTGTGCGCACCTATCGAGCCGAGTGCCGCTGTTTGAGGCTGCACTGCGCTCTGATCAAGTCAGTGCTGGATCAACAGGTAAAGGCAATATGTTTCTGTAATTATGGCATTAAATTAGTATTTACAAAAATTGAATATTAATACTTAAAGCAATTTTAAAGTAACTGATACGTAACTTTATGGTGCTGTTAGACGATTTGTTTAAGGTGTCATTGGTTTTAAAGCATCTGAGCCTATTAGTCTCCTTAACCATGTTAACTATATGACATTGGCCAAAACATTTTATGGAATTTTTTAAAATTTGTACTTTTATATTAACTCATATCTCTCTTTTAACTCTTTCAGTGCCCGCGAAATTTGAAAAGTTCGAGCGTTTTTGTTAATTGTTCGAAATTCTGTAAAAAAAAAAGTAAATAAGTTTTACTCACTAAATTTGTTGTTGTTGCTCTCTGGTATATCCTTGATATATTGGAAAGTCAAAAGTAGTCACAAACATAGTGATACACCCTGAAACACTGGCCTGAACACAGGGGAATTCCGCACTTTTTGCAGAAAATACTTGATTTAGTGCTGCGCCCTCTCGCAAGAACTCGAATGAAAAAATAAATACAGGTCGTACATGCATGAAAATGGTACCATTAGAAAGAGCGAGAGCGCCCCCTTTTGATAACATATTTACTCTACCTCGTACATGTACGAGGTTTGGCAATTTTAAGTACGAACATTTACAACATTACCTCGTACATGTACGAGGTTGGCACTTTTGTACTAACAAATATACCTCGTACATGTACGAGTTTGGCACTGAAAGAGTTAAAACCGTTTTAATGTTTTCCAAAATTGGATGGGCATATGAAGTGCATCTCTGTAGTTGGGTGTACAGAAGTAAATGCAGGTGGGCAAATAAAAAAAGAAAATAAGTCTAAAATTACGGAGGAAAATGCCCATCTACTGTTTAGGGGACGTGTACTAAATGCATTGGGCCCTTACAAGTTGCATGTACATGCTGCCATTGCTTTTTTTCTGTTGTGTGATTTTGTGCTACAGATCAGTGACCAGCGGGAGTACATCCAGAAAGTCTGCCGAGACGGTGAGCAGCATCAGACCGGGATGCCGTTCCGCATCATTCCAAAGCAGCCGGTATCCATCAACATTAGCCGGTAATCTTACATTTGCACTGAACTCCAAGTTTGCAAATATTAACTCTTTATTGGTGGTAGAATTGACAAAAAAAAGGGGAAATAATGTTGGTCAATGAGGAAAGCTATATTTCTGTATACTTGTGTTACAGTAATCAATATTTGTGCAATTTGTATACTCTATCAAATCATTTGGAATACCGGGTACTCTACTAAACCATATCATAATTTCCTTTGGTAAAATTTTCATGACATGCATGAAATTAGTTTTACAATCTCATGAGATTGTGAATGCATTATAGTCGTTATTTTATAACAAGCAGTGCAACCAACCTCTAAATTTTTATTCCACCAGCTTATTCCGACCATTGTTAATAAGCATGATAAGTATGCATTTGATGAAGGATAACCAAAGTATACTTGAGCTCTATCCTTGATTAGACTTGCACATTCCAAACTGTCCCTGAATTTATGTCTGTTTGCACAACTTGGCTTTTGTTTTGACTTGCAGGTCAGCACTACAGTACGTGTATCTCCTAGAATTCCATCCAAGCCTTGCGCTGGCAAGCCGAGTACCACAGGCTCTTACACAAGCATACAATGTAAGCTTTCGGTTGCCAGTAAATTTTGTTATGGATTTTCGGGGTTGCTAATAAGCTAAATCACCATTTCACTCAAACATGTGGCACCTAAACGATGCATTTTTCCCAGGAAACAATACATGCCATCATGCAGTCTTAGTCCATGCAGCCAGCATGTTCATGTGGGTTTGTTTATCCAAAATGCTGTGCCACAATACATAGCAAGCACGAGATGTCCAATTGACTTAAATGAAAAACTAAACTGAAAAATTTAATCTCTGATTTGCGGACAATGTAATGAACATAATTGTCCGAAATACAAAGTATCATGTCATTATTTTGAAAATGAGATTTCAAGGGCGCATTATTAAGCCTGTATGCACTTCTGGCCCTATCAATATAGGGAAAGGTACATAAATGCAAGTTCATTCATGCTATTCATGTATATTTTTGGAAGCCGCTATAAGGAACACAGCAAGATCCACAGAAATTGTTCATAATAGCGATCATTCGGTGTAGCGATTTTAAGCTGAAGGTGTTCCAGTACTCACTTTTCAATAAATAGCGCCCTTCAGAACTTCACCCTGCATGCACGCCCTGGTAGTTACTGAAAGACGACTTTGAACACGTGCCGACTATTGAACCATGTAATTACACAGTTTTTTAGCTTATACTACCTACTGCAGTGGGAGGCTTTCCCCTTCTATTCCTTTGGGAAATAATAGCCACATGTCGCTCTTCTGTTGACATTTCTCAACAACAATGTTAGGTACATTTTGCATACAAAAATTGGGAGCCCAGGACAATGTTTGGTATAGCCAAATGTTCGGTATAGCGGTGTTCGGTATAGCGGCGTTCCACTGTAGTACCAAATGGCAATGGCAAAAATTAAATGATCTTTATTTTGCAAATGCAAACTCACATCCACTTGTCCATGTTAATGGACGGCAAGTTTTGCTCTTTGAATAAACACTTCGAATGTAGCTTGAATTTTCAAGAGTAAAAGTCCAAGATGACAGAACCATCCCCTTTTACCATTGCAGGAACTGGTGCACGCCCATCAGCCCCGTTCTGTCACAGAGAGCATCTTGATTGAGAAGAAGATACTGGAGATTGCGCAGAGAGAGTGGGAGCATCTACAGCCCATAGGAAGTGCCTTCTCCAATCAGATACAACGAGATGTAAGGGATAGACATATTACTTATAAGACGATCTCCTGTCGTTGGGCTTAAGAAGGGAGAACTTTTTTATAATTAAAGTTGCCAGCTACAAGGTCCAAGGAATATCTAGGTGACAGCTGTAAACTGAGAAAAAAAGGAAGAAAGATGCAATTAAAAGCATAAAGGATTATGTGATTGTCATGAATTTTGTTTGTTTCCAATAATACCACCCAAAAGGAGATAGTCCAAAACCTAACCTATTGAAATTTCAGCTCGTGAATATGACGCTTTTAACACTGAAAAACATGCACAATCTGTAATCACAAAACACTTTTTAATGCAAAGATCAGTCAATTGACCTATCACCGTTTGTGACTTAGCCACGCACCTTAGTCAACCCTATAGAGTTTTTGTACGCTAACTTCTGTTGGCCTCAGATTTTGCGCGTTCAGCGTCCATTTGTATATCATGTAATTGGACAATATTTCACAAGCTGCGTTGACCCGATTCTAATGCAATTCTACAGCGATAGGTCAATGGACTGATCTTTATCAACTACACTTCTTGATTTTAAATGACGGCAAGCAAGACAGAATAATTTCACAGGGTGTTTAGTAGCAGTGGGATTGTTAATCCAAGTAAGCTTGTGATTTTTTGGGGGTGGTATGTTTGGGATTAACGCAAATGATGAAATGCCTTAAAAAAAAAAAAAAAAAAAAAAAACAGAAACAGGGACAAGTACACACGGACAGTTGGACCAACACTGAACCTTAATTAGCATGAAAACTTGCAGATAGACTAGAACAGTAAATATTGAGAGAAACTGAAACGTTGCTGAAAAACCAAATGATAAGCAAGCTATATTAGATATTTATTATTTTACAAAACTTCAATAACTTGATTTCATGGTTATTATTTAGATATGCGTGAACCACATCATGACAGACTATCTCTACGACTCTTTAGATGTGTCACTCTTGCGTGTTCAAATAACATTTTCTAAGTGCTGTGAAACTCTCATCTCCCCATGCAGTTGTTTGCAGATGTGTACGCCGAAGACCCCTCCTTTATGTGTGAGATCAGCCAATCAATGATGGCCTCTCTTGATGCTGCGGCAGGCAGGCGGACACCAAAAGAGAGGAAAGCTGATTTGCTGAAGATATGGTCCAGACTTTTGGAGGTAAGGCTTACCAGCCAAATCAGAGTAGATGCTCTGATGTAGATGTTGTTTTTATACACCAGATTAAAAAAAATCAGTGTAGGGAGTCCTGATTTTGTTCGGGGGAGCATAGTGAGATATTCCAAATCCAGCTATTTACCATATGCTACGTCCTTGGGCAAGCCACTTCAATTATTATTATTATTATTTGGGGTGGGGGCTAAGCATCCTTACTCGCAGGTGAGAAGCTAAACTGTGAAGGACAAAGCTACAATGTGGTCAAGCCAAAAGCATGTAAAGGCGCACTAGGCAGCCACCATTCAACACATGTATGACCACGGAGCACAGCCAGATCCAAAGTGTTGCCAAAGTAATCAACCATTAGGCTTGGAACAGACAATAGTTGAAGTAGATAGTTTTAATGTCTCACGTGTGACCGTATTTTTTTTTACATATTTAACTGCATGTCACTATGCATCCTGAAATGTTCCGGCCCTGTTCTGTTACATTTTCATCTATGGAACCGGTCTGTTTGTTGTTTTCTTTTGCAGACAATCACCTTGCGACACAGGCTAATTGAAACTGCAAATGAAACGGAATTGCTGTCAAAGGTAAATAACCACTTCACTTATGAGATTTTTCAGATTTTTGTCTGAAATCAGACTTTTTGAATCTGAGACAAAGACATTATTATTATAGAATGCATTTTTCAGACATTTCGTCAAGTTTGAGACTTTTTTGTTCAATGACAATCTCATCACTGACACTTCTTCCGTGCTTCATATTTGCCAAGCCGTTCAAATATAGAACGCACTGCAAGCTAGTTCATTTCAGTAAATTTTAAATCTCACAATATTTAACAATTGTGGACTGCTTTGATGTGGGATATGACGTTTTTAACACCCGAGGGGCGCATACCACCCAAGGGTACTACGCCCAGGAGGGTTTAAAAACGGCATATCCCACATCACAGCAGTCCACAATTGTTTTGTTATATAGTGCCAATAATTTCAAAAGATAAATGGTTGTAACTTGTGTGAGAAATAAATTAAATCACTGCGATGTAACCTTTGACGTCCTGCCAGACATGAGACTGAGCGTTTCACTTTGCAGTTCTCAATGCGCACAGCTAGCGTGCGGGTAGGTTTTACAAGCGCGTGCAACGTGCGCAATGAGCACAGTGCGATATCACCATCTGTGTGTGACATGCATTTTTATTGTCCATCATGTCCATAAACATGGCCATCCTAGACCAGTGAAATTACAGTTTCCAAGCACAATATGACAATATGAAATATGACAATATGAAATATACACATGCGTGACTGAATGTGTACTTCCTACATGCAGAGTTCTGAGGTGAATGTTAGAAGCACGAAAGTAATTGATCACAGATCAAGAAGATTTATTGATAAATTTTTCAACAGCGGGCAACTACCTATATTCTGTCAACCATATCCAGATTTTACAGTTCATTGTGTTTGATGTTTTCCATTGCGAGCCAGGTTGTGATCAATATTCAGTGATCGTCCTATGTGTATGTGCCATGGCGCATATTATTAGTATCATTATTATTATTTATTTCTGGTAATGATACCAAGGATTCCTCAAAAGCGCCCAAGGCACTGTAGCTCGCAAGCCTGAAGAAATCCATAGAGAGAAGACAATGAGAAGAAATTACAGTTTTAGGGGTGGGAGGAAAACCCCAGAAGCATATCCTGGGGAAAACCCACCAAATCAGGCAGGGACTGAAAACCCAATCCACATATTGGCCCAGGCGGGATTCGAACCCGGGTCACAACGGTGGAAGGCGAGGAAAGTACCGCTACGCCAACCTGACTCCCCAGGGCAAGCAGTCAGCCTTCATAAAGTGTTGCTGAAATGTTCTGATATTAAAACCGTGCATGAATGTTTCAATTTTATGAACATGTACTAAAATTTGGCCTGTTTTCCCACATTGAAAATATGCCATTGTTGGTTAATATGGTATGATGCATTGTGGAATCTGGACGTTTGGGGTAATGCTTTTGTAACGGCTTAGAGGTTACTTGTTCACAGAGTCCGGCCGGCCATTCTATACCTTTCTTCTAATACGTTACAGCTTTACAAGGAGCAGGCTGCCGATATGGGCTTTGACTTCTGCCATCTGTTCTTGAGATGTGTTCAGTTTGAGTTTGCCTCTCACAAGGAGAACGCTGATCAGCCCCCGCCGCTCTTCATTACAGCACTTCATGAAGACGACACAAATGTTGACAGGTAAAAGGAGAGTGATAGATAGAAGGCATTGGCTTATCAACTAGGAGTATTAACCCTAACACTCCCAAATGCAACACAGTGCATCAGGTTCAATGAAAGTCTGTGGGACCTTGCTGGATTGAGACATTAACACCAGTGCATGTAAATGGCAAATCCTGAGACAATGAGAGCTAGTCCCATTGAACAACGCCACAGTTGTATCCTGCTGCATTTGGTGACCACAGACTCTGAGGCAGTTTGGGCTTGTGATTTTTGACCTGATGGATATTGCTACACTAAAGTAGGAAAGTGTCATTTTGACAAGTGTTGCATGCTGCTGCATATAGCAGGGTTTCTATCCAAATTACCCTGGGGGTACCAGTAGGGTTAAGGGGGCTAAATCCCCATGTGTGTCCATGATTTTGTCAACAAGCCCACAATACCCTCCTCCCCATTTGTTTTAATTTGGTGCCAGAATGCAGACTTGCACATGATTTGTACGTAATGATATTATCAAAGTGACATGTTTCTGATATATGCCGTATATTTTATAACAACTTATGAGTGGTTTTTCAAGTCTTATTAAAATGTCTAAATTGTTTTATTCTGTGCTGTAGATATGTACCTTCAAGTTTATTCCTGGCTATTCATGAGCTGGATGAGAAACATGTTGGGCAGTTCAGCTTCCGTAGCAAAGACGGCTTTCTCAAGGTACAAAGACCCCGTAGCTAAGCCTCATTGTCAAATGACAAAACATACATGTACGCCACGGTTTGTACATATTAAGTTTAAAGTTCATGCAATCTTGTGTACTGCTTACGAGCACATGCTGAGTTGAATTTCACATATCCTTGACTCATCATAATTGGCGCAGGTTATGCTTGCAACGCGTGCGCGTTGCCCAACGCAAATTGAATGCGAGTGCATCGAAATAGGACAACGTTGTTTTAGGAGCTATGTGCCCCTCCGATGTTAAAAATGCCATAACCCACATCACAGCAGTTAACAATTGGCAATTGATAACTTTCTCTGAAAGTTGTATCTCATTTGCTCATTTGAATCAATTCCTTGATGAAGGTCGGTGTTCTTAGGAAATTGCTGACTCTTTTCCAGATAATCAGATTACATTAGTGACTGTTGCACGAAGTCAAGAGAATCTCTTCAAATTGTTCAAAAATGCAATAAATGTCATTTTGTTACCTCGTAGAATCCCACCATCTCCTGGTTGCCAAACGTCAGTTTCAGTGACTGTTTTACACCATTTTAGACTACAGTGAAGAGTGTAGTTGAGAAACAGCTGTTATACTCTTTGTATTCTAAAAGTTGTTATAACCGTGCAGAGAGGTTTTGCTATGTTTTTCACATTCATTTATCACATGTTGAAAATAAACTCTTCACATTCACAACAGACAATTCGAAATAGAAAAAAAAAGACTTACGTCCTCTATTTAACAATTGTTGACAGCTTTGGTGTGGGATATGACGGTTTGAACACCCGAGGGGCGCATAGCACCCAAGGCGAAGCCGAGGGGGCTATGCACCCCGAGGGTGTTCAAAACCTCATATCCCATATCACAGCAGCCAACAATTGTTTTGTTACACCTCTGTCTTGGATTCTTTTGATTTTGATGTAAAAGTAACGAAAACAAACAGCAGTAAAAACAACAATCATGACAATCAAACATCAACTCACACTCATGTCGTGTACTCGAAACAGCTGATCGTCTGCTAGTTGGCTGCTCCCATTCATAGGTGAAAATGTCATGAAAATAGCGTTGGTACCAACGATATAAGCATTTCACACCATACGTACAAGGTCATAGCACACTCCCTGTGGGATATCACGTACGTGATATCCCACAGGGAGTGTGTTATGACTTTTTATAAACTTAACACATGATCATTCTAGGCCAATGGAAATATAGTATTCAAGATAGAGGTATAACAACGCAATATGGCACTGAGTACCAATCTACAGTGTAGTTGCACACATTTGCCTTTTGCTTCTCAACAGCTCATGAAGGGAAGTGCTCTGGAGAACCTCCAGGCTGTCCTGATGGCCCAGGTGGTTCATAAGAATGCCGTCTTGGCTGCCGTTCAGCAAGGCAGCGTCTGCTCTTACTTCAAGGAAGAGGTACCAGACAACGGCCCCCAGGCAAGGTAGGTGGGAAAGGGAATTGCTGTAACTCATTTTCAACTACTTCGCCCTGGCTTTTGTAGAATATACCTTCAAAAAGCATCCTTGTGGGAGTAAAACTGCTTTACTGTTGCAGGCTTAAACTGCAGCAGTAAAGATCTTGCAAGTCAATATACTATTAAACAGTCACAGCAGATGAATTGCACAGTGCATAATGTGAGTACTTAATCACTCTGTTGGAGTTTGACTTTCTTTATCACTTGATATACAAAATGCTTTATTTACAGGACATTGTGTAAAATCACTTTGTGTTGGCTGAATTTCATCATCACGCCATTGAAGTCCACCTCTACAAATCTAACACAAGTCCAGTCACAAGTACATCACAAGTCATTGAAAAATTTTGGTCACAAGTAAAATGGTGTAATTAACCAAGATTGTTTTTCTCAAAGTTCTTGTTTTTTTTACATGATTGTGGACTGCATGACTGGTATGTTTGACTTGTGAGGACTTGTGAGAACTTGTCATGCTTGTGATAACTTTTAAGGGCTTAACTGCCTGTACAAATATTCCCAATAGGTAGTCAAGTCAGCCAACACTACTTCAGGACCAGACGTTTGCACTTCTTCTTCTCAAACCGTGTTATATTTTGAATACTACTGCCCCTCAAACCATGTTATGTTCGTGTACTGCCGCACTTCGAGGCATGTTATAATTATTTTACTTTCCTCTACAGTGGTAGGAAGTCTCCCCAGAATGCGCGTAGTGATCGTACCAGTTCCGTTCTGACCTCTCAGAACGCCACTCCCATGGCCACCACCACATCGGTCATCTTCGCAGCCAAGCTCAAATCCTCCATGGAGAGTCACAAGAGATCACCAGAGGCGTTTGTCTCCCTGCAGCTAGAAAAGGTATTAGTCGCCAAAAGACATTTGTGGCTTTGCGGATAGAGGTCCAGTAAGGAGCAGAAACAGCTAAATTGAGACATACTGAATGACATTCAATGGAGCGTGAACATGTGTTATAGGGACATGAGATGATTGCACCTATGGGCTATTATAAGATGAGGCTGAAACACAATTGGCAAAGAAGGTCATTTTCATTGACTTTAAAGAGAACTTGCCAGAATTTAAGTTTACTTTTAGGATTTTGCTACAAATCTGAGAATACTGAAAATTTAATTTTCGAAACATTTATACAGATCAGAGAAAACTATTCTTGCTTCACAATTTTTATTCTCTTTGGTTGGAAACCCTGTAACACTTAGTGTTGTAGTTGGGATTAACTGTGTTTAACCCTTAAGTTACTGTAGCTGCTGGAACCGCCCTGCCTATTACTGCCTGTAGCGCCCGAAACTGTTCGAGCACTCTATGCTGTTACTGATTCTTCAGTGAAAAAAACACAATTGTAATGCATTGTAGTACAGGTGTTAATAGGTGAAAGAGTTAAAGAACTATAGCTATAGAATTTAGGCCTTTTTTTGGCAAAGATTTAGCTCCAATTTCAAGTATAGATTACAACAATTATTCCCCTACAACGTAAAAGAGTCGACCATTGGTGACAAATTTGGAATCAAGTAAATGGGGGGGGGGGGGGGGGGGGGGGGAAGGCCCCCTTGGCAGCAATTGGCCCATCCAACGGCAACAGCCATACACATATGTTTTTGTGGTTTTTTTGGTAGTGGACTCCCCTAGTTGGTGCTATGCCCCCTCCCAATGCTTGGAGCTGGCGACGGTGCTGCAAAGAATGTCTGTGTTACAGTTGAATAGAATGTGACCCGACTTGGGACTGGACGACTTGTATTGACTAGTGACTGACTCAATTACTAGGCTGATTTTTGATCACCCCCTCTGTCGCAAATAGACCCCATCCAGGGACGTGATGCTGAATGCGTTCTTGTCCAAGAAAGCCAGCTTGGGCACCATCATGAAGAACCCAGAAGAAGTGGAGAAACTCAAACGGTAAAAACTTCTTTCTAATTCACCGAGAAAATCTGGTACATTTCAAAATCCTACATGAGTAAATGAAGGTTCCACACTTGGACATTTTCAAAAAATCCTTTGAAACAAATTAATTATTATGAAATAAAACCAAGGATTCCTCATAAGTGCCCTGAGCGCTTTAAGCTTGCAAGCCTTAGTAATCTGTGGAGTGGCGACAAATGAAAAAGTGTTCAGTTTAAGAGGTGGGAGGAAGAACTATTCCAGATTAATATTCCTATGAAAGCCCCTGAATCAGGCAGGGACTGAAAACTCCATCCAAGTACTGGCCTAGATGTAATTCACAAAAGTGTATAAGGCAAGGGAAGCATCACAGCAAAAATTGACATCCCAACAGGAATATTGGCTCAAGTTTTGGCATGCTCATGTGTCAATTGTAACCCACCCACCCCCTCCCAATTCCGCTTAGATTTTCACACAAATGTTTAACCCTTTCGTGCACAGATATTTTGAATTAGATGCAAAGATTATAACAGTTCGTGGGTAGTCGCTCAAAAAATTCAATTGTTTTCTCCCAACATGTGTTTCCAATAATTGTCTTAACACTTTTTCTGTGGAAAACAAAAATTTAAATGTGGAAAGCGAAAATTAAAAAAATTGTAAGAAATGTAGTTTTGTGGTGAAACTCGTCACTGTTGTTTTTGTGTTCTCCAGGAATCTGATAGCGGATTTCTGTCGGCGGTTCATGCGGCGCATGACCCAGTACTCCCTGCGCGGTCAGATCATTGCCTACCTGAACAGCATTCTCTTCCTGCTGGACAACTTCCCCAGTGTCCGCAATGGCAGCTTTGTGGTGGGCATGCCCAACGAGAAGAAAACTGCTATGGATGACAAGAAGGGGCTAGTCACTAATCCAAGGTAACTGATTATTGACTAGGTGCAATATCTCTCTTGAAACAATTGAAAGGCATCAGTCTAGATGAAAAGAGAGAAAAAAATTCAGTTGATGGAAAAGCCATCCTAAAGAGATGTGTTTGGAGTTTCTGTGTGAAAAGTGTGGTATTTTTCATGTCTCTGAGATCATGTGGCAAACGGTACCCCCTTACTTGGTTGCAATGAGAGACTTTGCAGGGACTTAAAGGCATTGCCCACGTGTATCTGGCGCTCATAAACATTTTTAAAAAAGGAGTAACAAAAAAACAAATCGAGCATGAAATTTAGTTTCCAGTCCCGTTATTTTATCAAGGAAATAGAACATACCTTTTTGGGACTTGAGTCACCCCGTCAAAAATGCTCTCACTGCCAAGGGGTACCAACCGAGGGCATTCATGATCCCTAAAAAGAAACTCTAAGATGACCACCAATGTCAAGCAACAACCTATGGCCATTCTTCCATACATCCGAGGTCTGTCTGAACAGCTGGAGTGTGTGTTTTGTGAACATGGTGTCACGGCAGCACACAAGCTGTTTAACAGCTGTCGCTCCCTGTTGATCAGCCTGAAAGACAAGAATGTCGTGTGATGGCTGTGAAGACACTTATATCGGTGAAACAGCTCGCACTCTGCAGACCCGATACAGAGAGCATACCAGTAGGTCAGCCCCCTGACAGCAGTTGGTGAACATATATCCACCCCTGGACATAGCATCTCCGTAGACAATGTTAAGTTCATCGCTAGAGAGGATGACCCTCTGGAAACGCAAAATCCGTGAGGCAGTAGAAATCGGCAGGCACAGGCCCCATATCATATGAACAGAGATGGAGGGTATGAGCTGCCCAATGTTTACGATCCCCTGCTGTCGTGTGACCAAGCTTGATCGTGAGAGCCTCAACAACGCCTGTTGATAAAGACATTGTAATGGTGTCGCAAGCTCCTGATACGAGCTCTGTAACTCAAGTCCCAAAAAGTTATCTTCTATTTACTTAGCAAACACAAAGTTTACCCCAAACCCTAATAATCCTTCAACAGGGATCTCAAAAAGCGACCTAGGCGTCTCCTTTCGGCTGATGGCTCCACACTTCTGAATTTGTGGTTCCTCCCACACCACACGGAGGTCTTGCACATGTTCAAGACCCTGGATGAGGACACATGCGCGAGGGCCCTCACTCAGTGCCTGCGGGTCATCGCATCGCTGCATGACATACTGCAATACCTGTGTGCCCACTCCAAGCTGGGAAGCTCCAATGCAAGGTATTGCCATTTTATCATTACTGAGTGCACTGCGCTTTTGAAAGTGGCTACTAATTTGCCAATTGTGACCCATTTCTATTTGTTTGTTGCAACACTTCAGTGTTTGTTCATTTTGTTTGACTGTTGTGCCACTTACCTACGTGTCTTAACGTCTTAGTCAACTCAGGAGTAAACAACCAAGGCACTTTCCATTTACCACTGAATAATCAATGAAAGCTAAGAAAAAAAACTTTTGTTGTTTTTAATAACTTTCGTATAATTGAAAAAAGTTTTGACAGGGTGAATCCTGCAACTCCGTGGTTAAACATAAAGATGATTGACTTGACCAATTAATTTTATTGATCAACTGATCTACCTCAAAGCTGTAAAATTTTAGATCAAATTTATACAATTTACAACCAATTGTGCTCAGCATTTGTCCATAATTATGCACAAAGAGGTAAAGCAGTATTGTTCTTAACAAACATGTGTTCCATGTCTTTCCGCATGATGATCAGGCACATGAGCATTTCACTCAAACAAAGATGCTTAGTATACATGTGAAAAAAATAAGTCAAGCACAATTAACATTGTGCGCATGTAATGTATCCTTGTGAGTCACAGTGCCATTTTCAATACATGCTAGGATACCATTTACATACATGTGTCTATTGAAGGAGCTAGTATTGTGTATATAATTATGTAAACACGAATCCACTGTAGCAGTGCTTACAAAAAATTAAGTTGAAAAAAAGAAAATGACTGGAGGGAGGTTTGAACCTGCAACCTTTTCAATACTGTACCTGTGCTCTACCAAAAGCTGTCTGGTACGTGTTGGCTGGAGAGCTCAGTTGGTAAAGAGGTTCAAACCCTGCCCCAGTTAATTTCTTTGTTCAACAGTCACTTAAAATACCAATGATTAGTTCTTTTGCTCGAATAGGCTTGGGTCTGATAAGCAAGAGTATGTGACAGCAGACTGGGGTGGCACTGAAGGCATATCAGCAGAGCTCAGAGAAATCCAGAAACAGATCAACCACCTGGATAATCCCACTGATCCGCAGGAGGTACGGTATTTGTCTTGGGGACAAGTGCTGTCATATAAAAAAGTTAAATTATAGGAAAGCCAAGGTGAAATCCACTAGGCAGTGCAACATCAAGACATTAGGCAAAAACTAAAACCTTTACTTTTGTTTGTGGTTCCATAACCGACCCTATTTTAACGACCCAACTCTAAAAATATTTATCGGCAAGTAAAAAAATAGTACTTTGAAACACATTCACATTGTCTTTTCTGTGTTATCTCTGTCGCTACGGCCAGCCGCTGGCAGCGGCACAAAAAAAACTGTACATGTCATATAGCAAGCCGCTGGAAGCGGCTCGGCGATGTCACTGTAAATGAACAGGGGTATATCCCCATGACGTGCCTTATTTACATAATTTATATCCTATAACCTCTGACCCTAGTTTTAGCCGCTGCCAACGGCTTTCCGTCTCGCCGGGAACTGCTGCAGGTTATGTTGAGCAGGTTGTTTACGGAGAGACATTTAAAGATGGCGGCGTCCACATCGACACACAGCGTAATTTCCAGCAATTTATTACGTACAAACGTGAAAAAAATCGGGAAATTAAGTTCTGTAGCGAAAGGGTTAACAGAAACACTTCTCCCTACAACCTTTTTTCCCCATTAAAAATGGTCATAATATTTCTGCTGCCAGTATTTGTTCCTTTGCTTACTCACAGCCTCTGTTTTACGAAGGAAACCTACTTTTCCCTTCCAAGTAGGGACGAAAAAACAAAATCAGTAGAACATGTCTCTGTGTTTACCCCCGTATGTCCAAATTCAAATGAAAGCCAGACTAAGTGTTATACCAGAAAGAAGAGCTAATGTTATGTGCCCTTTTTAATGCATATGAAATGCTATGAAGTTAAAACAAAATTCTCAATGCTTATTTCATACAACATCACTAGGTGGCTGATTTTCTGTCACTGCGACGCGACGTCCTCTTCCTGGAGTACGATGCCACCATGAGACACTCCCTCCGCGAGACCTTCCTGTCCATGGGCAACCGCTCGGCGTACCAGAACAGCTCTGACAGCATCTTCTTTGCCCTGGCTGGACTGAGTAACATCCAGATGCCCAGTGTGTTCAGTGCCTACCTGCCGGTGCCGGAACCCCTACAGCCTAGAGACTGGAAGGCCAGTGAGCTTTTCCCATGGAGGGCTCACCTCGGAAGGTAAAGGGAGGATTCATGAGGAGGGTTATAGACTAATTTGATGAACAAAATTAGAAGCAATTTTTGAAATGGTTTTTAAAGATGAGGCACGCACGCAGTTTGGTAAAAGTCTAATGGTCGAAGGAGCTAGGAGTGCGTGTGTAACTACCTGGTGCCACCTCGGAATGTGGCTGAAACCTGATTAGTCTTTAGACTAATTCGGTGACAGGCGAGATGCGCTCGGGCTCCTTCGACCGAAAGTGTTACTAAAATGTGCGCGTATGCTTTGGCTTCTAATTGTGTTCGGCGGATTCCAGTATAGACTTAATTGGCTACCTGAGTCATTACTGAGGTGGAACAACTGATGAACTCTATATTGACTCCATGGACAAGTATCCTCTCAACGGGTGCAAATGTAGAGTCTTGGGAGACCATTGGGAGTTATGCAAAAATGCTATTGACTTGTGCACCTTCACAATAAAACTAGTCATGCGTACTTTGTGCCGTACACATGTGAAAGAGTGCATGCACGTGGTATGTCCCCACTAGAGCTTCGAAAAGTTGTAAAAAAGCACCATCTGTTCGTGCACAGAGCCTTTACTACACGATTATGGTTGCCAAAATGTATGTGCCTATAAATGCATTTGAAGATCTACTTGTTAAAAGGAAGTTACTATGTACAAACATGCTTGGTTATTTCAACTGCGCATGCGCACAGTGATATTGGTCACGGGTCATTCAGGATAGTCGAATGCTCATCAAAGGTGCATGAATGCGCAAGGAGCCATTCACATGACGCTCACAGAATGGGCGTTCGCGTACCATCGCGTAACATCGTGTCAGCGATTTATCCCGAATGACCTTTGACCTGGCCTACTTGATCGAGATACCGAACTGGCTTATTGTATTGTTTTGAATGGACTGTTGGATGAGAGATTTTATTTGTTTGGTGCCTTGATACCCTGGGCAACACTCGGGGACTGCTGATACATTTTGATTTTCTTTCTGCCTGTGTGATTTTTCGTATTCTAGAACAAAATTACTAGAAAATGATGTGCAATTCTCCTAAATATTTGCAGTGAAACCAACTGCTGTTGATGCATAAACTATGAATGGATAATGTCAACTATAAATCACAAACATTTTGATTTGCTTGCCTGATCCTATTGCATCAATCATTACATAATGTTAACAGGAGAGGACCATTTCCGCTTCGTTTCTGGCAGTGGCAGCAGATTGAGTTCAACATGCAGCTCAGTATGTCCGCACTCAGAGATGTAGACAGGTAATTACGAACTCAATGCAGTAATGGTAGAACAGATCATTTGCAGCTGTCTGAAAAGTATTGAAAAACATACTTGGTTTAAAGAAAATGGAAATTAACTGCCAGTGAAATTATTCTTTCTTCTGTGCTGTCATTTTGAGGAAAACAATTGTTTTCCTCAAACCGTCAAAAAAGTCAGTATAACAATATTTGCTTTCTATTACCAACCCCCCAAATCCATCCATTTCTGAAAATTACAGCAAAAGCAAATGATGTATATTCCCTTTAGCAATGGGCAAAGCTTAAAAAAATCAGACGAGCCCAATTGTATGTCACACAAGTGACCGAACAATGGCCCAGAAGTTGTTTGTAATTGGTGTCATTATGTTAACCATTTTCACAGGCATGTTGCTCATGGTGAGATCCTAGGTGTTTCCTTGCTGATGGAGGACGTCCTGCAAAGCGGACAGCAGGACATCAGCATGGTGCCTGATGACAGCGATGATGAAGCAGACAACCCCAAGCCTGCCGCTGGTGGTCAGGGCAAGAGCCCTGCCCGCTCCCGACCCCGCAGCGCTGCCAGTGCCAAGTCAGGGATGTCTCGGCCTGGGAGCGGGACGGCCAAGGAATCCTCAGGGCAAGAAGGTACAAAGAGTTGATTCCACCTGCTGTGTGCAGACCAATAATTCTAGGGGCTGCAAATGATACATTGTGTACCACATATAATGTGGATATGAAATGCCCAAATAGGTATCATGATAGGAAGTTTGCATAGCGATACATGGCTATGAATAAACAAAAAACAGAAGATAGACTACTTAAGGCATCGGAAGCCAAATTTGTGGACAACACATCTTGTGATAGTCAACAGCTTTGCCTTTTATCGTTGAAATATTTAGATACATATCATGTAGTGAAAATTGTATGGATAGCCCCTAAAGATTTGACGATTTCCTTTACAGACTGAGCAATGCAACTATTATGTTTGGCTTTTGCATGCCCAAAAAAAAGCAAACTTTGTCTTAGTCCATTTTGATTGGTCTGTAAAATGTAAGTGAAAGGTATGATATTTTACTTAATCCAGAAATGTCAGTGCTAGTTAGGATATGATTCAAATCAGTCAACTCCATGGTCATTTTTTTCTTAAACATCTGCCTTAGTACGCAGAAGGTTGCGTGTTCAAACATATTTTTGAATTTTGATCTCACTCTTTATTGAGAATTCAATTTTTGTATAGCTATGTCAGTAAAGGGTAAAACTTGATAATAAATAAACGTTAATTAGAGCATAACAGTGTGAGGACCCGGTCTTCACTGTGTGATAATAGAGTGGCCATCCCCCAACCCGGTGATAATTATCACGCAGCGAAGTCTGGGTCCTCACAATGTATATATTTCCATGATGCTGGATCAGTGCTGGTTCAGGGGCCATTTATTCGCTTTTTCTTCAAGCCGGTCGTTATATAGCATGTTAATTCACCCCCATGTGATCGAGTCTTGACCAATCAGAAGCTATTAATTCTCCAAAGTAATTTATTATTTTTTTTCACAATTCAGTCATTTTGAAGAAGTCCTTGTCCCGAACCACGGAGCCCATCAAGGCGTACTCCTTACTGAAAGACTTCCTGTTACTATGGAAACGGCTGGAAGTCTTCAAAGCAGAGTGGGGTCAACGCAAACTGGGTCAAGAAGAGATCAATGCACCAATGCTGTATAGAAAATTCTGGTGAGTGTAAAAAAAAAAAAATTGGTAACAATATAAAACAAGTCAGATATATTATAGGTTCGTATGTTGGACATATTGGTGAAAGTTTCATGTATATCCATTGTACCATTTTGAGGTAAAGCGTTAGCAAATTAACACACGCTAAAAAACACCCTGACAAAGGTTCCATGGTTCCACAAATGAAATTGCGTACTGATGAGACTGCATTTCAAACAATGCAGTCACATTGTCTGAAATGCAGTCACTGTAAGTGATTTCAGTAAATTTGTTGAACCATGGAACCGTGGTTAGAGCGTTTTATAGCATGTGTTCTTTGCTAGCGCATGGTACAATGGATTTACATGAAACTTTCCATGTCCAACATACCAGCCTATCACATATCTCATTTCCACCTGTTTTTGATAATTTCAATGTTTTCTTTAATTTGGGTCCAGATCAATCTGACTCGCCCTGTAGTGGACATTTTCAGCTTAGGGATTAAGAAAATGTGTCGAGATTTTAGCAGAGTGTGTCTTTCATTAACCTTCTTATTTCAAGTTAAATTGTTGTCTGCATTCATTACTATAATTGTTTATAACTGTTTACAACTTAAGTGTGAATAGAGGACCTTGACCAAATGGACATGTTCGTCAAATTTGGTTCACTTTTGTATGTCAAATTTCTGACAACAGTTTAATTTGCAAAACAGTTCAGGATCTAGTTTTTGTGTTTGCTGGCGATGATCGTTATATTCTTGCACAAGTGATACCACTTCATCTATTGAAGCCATGCATGTTGACTCTGCAGACGGTACATCTTACAGTAAAACCAATCTGAATGTTCGGAATCCATAAATTGTAAAGACAATTAATAGCATTGTATTTGTTGAATTACAGCAAAATGTACAAGACGGACATCCTGTACCCAGTCATCAGAATCATTGCCAAGCGATACGGAGAGGTGACAAATCTGCTTTTTTCTTAAATTTTATTCCTTAATTTGTGTAAATGTTTGTGTAAATGTTAAAAGTTATAAGGATTGCATACTCTGAATTTCTTTCTTCAAGTCTTAATTTTGGTACCGGTATTTTACTTGGAACAAAAATGGAACATTGTAAATGGCCCCCTAAAAGAGAGAGTAAAACATTCATGAATAAAACACACATTGAAAACTGGAAATTTAAGATTCACATACCTGCTCTCCCAAATGAAATTTCAGTTGTGCCCATTGCTTTGTCTATTAGTAGGCAAATAATGAATGTTTATGATTGCAGTGGTGAGAGTATTTTCATGATTTGAAAGATCGAATGTTCCATTCAACGAGGTGAAGCAAGATGATTACAGAAGTTTAGTACCTTCACTTAAATCTACAATGTGAACAATGTAAAAAAACATTTTTTGAATTGAAGCAGCATGTAAAATGACGTCAAATAATATTGGAAACACGTCCAGTTATAACCCCCAAATGGCATTGCTGCAGTGCCCTCATTCAACCAGGAATATGGCCTATTGTGCGGGCAAAATGGCAAAAGAAGATTAAGTACGGTCAGTCTTTGCACTCAACCTTGGTGTGTATTGATATTACATCTTTGAAGTGTTAGATCTCAAACTACTGAGTGTATATACTCAGTGAGAGCAAATTCAAAATAAATTGTGACATCACGGCAATTATTTGTGCTGTGTGTTCACAAATGTTGAACAAACTTTGGTGAATTTCCGACTGCAAATGTTTCCTGGCGTCAAATTCGCTTCACATTCGTTAATTTGAAAATAGGCCTGAATGATGTCCGAACATTTTTAGTCATTCTTTTAAAAACTCCATGGAACAATTATCAACCTCTTTGAGTCCATATGCCATGCCGTGTTTTCATGTTCTCATCAGGTGGACCAGTACGAGGGCATGGTGTCGGACTCAGAGCCCATCGTGGCCCCCAAGGGGGCCTCGGAGATGGAGATCCGGGCCAAACAGCTGGTCAAGCTACTGGACAGCCTGGAGAATCACATGATCTATGAGCTCAGGAGGAAAGTCGCCAGGGAACACTCGCTGGTGCTGGCAGAGAGGTCACGGGAGGAGGGGAATCTACCCACAGATCTCTGGAAGAAACCGGTCAGTAATTACTTTTTGTCCTCAAAATGTACTCAACTGTAATCAAAAAAGAGGTTGCTGCCAAATAACTTGGCAATAAATGGCAACAACAAACCGCGTGATCAACAATTTCAGTTTCACGAACTGACACCCGGTAGTGGGCGCGTACATTGGACACTGATGCAAAATAGAATGGTTTTCGTTTTCTAAAACTAACACCCAAGCATGTTGCGGAAATACAGTACAGAGAAAAACGTTTTTGAAAAGTTTGACATGAATTTAATCTATCCATATACTTTAGCTCACACAAAAATGTAATTAAAAACCGTTTTAACTGGTGAAATTAAGATCAGTGTCTGTTCATGAAAATGAAAATGTACAGAGAGGGCACCGGAAGTGCCACACTGTGCCAGTTGTCATTTCGTGAAAATGAAAGTAACCCGATTCTGTAAAATACGTTGGTGTGCCGCGCAATCACACGCAACAGAGTTGGGGGTCACATGAATGTTATTTCCACAAATTCAGATAAATTTCTCACAGAAATTAACTGCTTTCGATCAACTTTTAACCAATTAGCACCTGGACGTCATTGTATTACACTGCATGTATTCAATGAAAAAATCAATAAAACCCTAGAGTGCTGGGGCGGTTTCAGGCACCACGGTGATTAATAGGCTGGGTGGTCTCGGGCGCTACAGCGACAAAAGGGTAAGGGGAGGAATTGATAGTGTTAAAGCTTTTCATAGTATTATACATAAGCACCAGAAACACACCAGATCTGCAAAAAAAATATTAGCCACCCTTGGTGTTTATAGTCTTATTCTACTCACTCAAAGAACCTGCCAACTTCCTCTTATTGCCAATTTTACCCTCCTCCCCCATGCCCCCCCCCCCTTTTGCAGGCAATCAATGAGCGCTTCACCTTCGCCAAGCCGCAGATTGCCGAGGATTTTGCCTGGTACCTGATGGAAGTGGGCCAACGCCGCGACGAGGAAAAGACCCTAGTCTTGTCTTACGACCAGCTGAATGTTGCCCTCGCCTCCCTAGCCACAACCATCATGACCAGGGAAAGAACCAACTATGAGAACTACTCCATGTTCTATGAGAATCTGCTCAGACAGCACCATCAACTGCTGTACCAGAGAGAACAGGTGAGGGGGGAGACTGTGAAATTCGAGGTAAACTTGAGGTTAACCTGGTTTTGGGAGGTTTAACAGGGTTTTACAGGGTATTTGAGGGTTTAAACTTGAGTTACATCTGGCTTAATTTAACATATTTCCCTAAAGATAGTTATTATTCCTTTATTATTAGTGAATAAAAGTATGGGGTGAGAAGTTCCATAAAAATTGCCCTATCCTTGATGTTTTTGTTAGTACATATTGTGTGCGTTCGAGTAGCTCCCTCGGATCGGCTTGAGTAAAGGCAGACGGGTTAGCCACAACAGCCAGGATAATTGAACCCTCAACCGTGGGATGTCACGATCCTCACGTGAAGCCCCTAGCAGTGGCCGTAGCCACGGATAGTTCGGATTGGGTCTTAGTTTGAGATTTACTGCTTTTCAGTCAGTTGCAAAACTCAAAGCCTCAAAAGTCGCAATGAACTCAATAAATGGTTACCTTTTGCCTTTAGACTTGATATAAAGTTAATTTTGAAGTCTGCTTGAGATTTCTGCTGTCCGGCTGCCATAATTGTCTGTTTCTTGGAATGAACAACGCATGCGTACGTGTGACGTATTTCCACCACTGACTTTGCTCACGAGCAGGGTCTGTGGTGGCTGCCTGGGTAAGCCCCGAGAACGACGTCAAAGCTAATCAAACGGCAGGGGGCTGACCAGTTACAACCCGGGTGAGCTAAACGAACGCACCCATTAAGAAATTGTTCATTACTTATCGAGGCTGAAACTGACACACAAAGTCATATCAGTATATCACATCTCCAATTGGAGTGTAAGTTATAGTGAAGCAGTCACCAACATTTATCAAATGACCAAAGTTAGATGGTCTCTCAAAGATATGGACTTTCCATTAGTAGAAAGCTATTCGGGTGATTCACAATGCAGTGCGCCACCAAGGGTTTGCCACGGAGAGTTCCTTTTTCAAGGTCACGGTCGACAAAACATGGCCCATTTGAACGAGTGTCAGTAGAAAACTTGAGCTAATTTGTTGTAGATTGGGGCAAATTAAGCGTTCTGCCGCCAAACAAAGAAACTCCATAAAACGAAAAGAAAAGGGCAAACAGACACTCGAACCATACGCTTACGAATTTTCTGGCAGGAAAAACTAACAATTTCAAATGTCCGGTGCTGCGAATTTGTCGACCATCTCCCACAATGCACTGGGAAAAATGAACTCTCCGTGGCAAACTCTTGGTGGCGCACTAATTGTGAATCGCCCGAATTACTTCTTGGAAGTTAGGGACAAGTATGAAACAAGAAACATGCCTTTACTCACTTTATTCAGCATACATGCATTTACTTCTAAACCCGCAAAGTCATGAATTTCTATACACCTGTGGACAATGCTTTGTGTTTCCCTTTGTCCCTGTAATATAACACTCTCCCATAGAAGCACATAGCCATATGATAGAGGACCGTTTTCAACAAAAAGTCCCAAACGCTCGAGCTGAAAGGATCTTTTGTTCTCCCTTTGTGTGTCTGTCCTCTATCGTAAAGCCATACATGTACATCAGCCCTTGCATTACATTTTTCACCAACACCACGAACTGACACTCCAGCGCATGAGGGTGTCAGTTCGTGAAACCACGTAATCAACAATTTAGCTTTCACGAACTGACACCCAGTAGTGCGCGAGCTGATGCAAAATAGGATGATTTTGGTTTTCATGAACTGACACCCAAGCATGTTGCGGCAATACCGTACGGAGAAAAATGCTTTGAATTGTTTGAGTTGAATTTAATCCTTCCGTATACTTGTGGGCTTACACAAAAATTTAATTAAAAACCATTTTGTTTGTGAAATTAAGGTCAGTGTCAGTTCGTGAAAACGAAAATGTACGGAGTGCGCACTAAAAGTGCTACACTGTGCCGGGTGTCAGTTCGTGAAAACGAAAATAACGCGGTTCTGTAGAATACGCGCGCGTGCCGCGTACTCGCGCACAACTGAGTGTCAGTTCGTGGTGCCGGTGACGATTTTACCACACTGTATTTACTTCTCGTTGAATAAAAAAAAAACAATATAAATTGCTGCCCTGGGCGGTTTGGGACGGTATAAGGAGTAACAGGCAGGGCAGTTTGGGGGCGGTACTACATGTTACCTGCAACGCCCCTAGCTACCAGTATAATGTTTTGAATGCCTTTTTTTATAACCAATTTTCCAATTATCACAGTTTTGTGTGATCTAATTTTTGTTTGTGTTGTAGGAAATTGAGCAGCTGAAGAAGGCATGTAAAGATGCCACAGCATCAGCGTTGGTGGATGTGCAGTGCCAGCTGGCTGATAGGAGCCATGAGCTGATACTCGGTATGTAGGTCATTGGAACTAGTATCAACAGTCACTCTATGCCATGATTCCTTTGAGCCAGGATGTACAGGACACCAAGCGTAATATCAACCCAATACATTTACTCCATAACTCCATATATTTACTTCTTTTTGAAAATGTTAGTGATTACATGAACAATTTCAACTTCACCCTGCAAGCCTTTGTAGTTACAGAAAGACGACATTGAATACGTGCCGACTATTGAATTATGTAATTACACAATTTTTTTTTAGTTTACTACCTACAGCAATGAGTGGCTTTCCCCTTCTATTCCTTGGGAAATAATAGCCACTAGTGCACTAGTTGCTCTTCTGTTGACATATTTCCAACAACAACTTTCTGTACGTTTTGTACACACAAAATATTACGGGAGCCAAGGACGATGTTCAGTATAGACAAATGTTTGGTATAGCGGTGTTTGGTATAGCGACGTACCACTGTAGTAATATTAATATTGTTAAAAAGTATTCTTAAAAAGAAACATAAAATATCTAACACGTGCTTTAAACATCCAAATTACCTATAAAACTTTTAGAAGATTATTAAAAAGTATTAGAGTGGAGCACATAAAATACAAGACATAAAATGGTTTTGCAGGGAGTACAAGGCTTTGGGGTAGTTCATTGACTAAATGAGTCAACACTGAACTGTTCTGTTGTCCTTTCTCTACCAGAAATCACGGCTCTCCGCGCCAAGATAGCCGAGATGCGCGAGTTGTCTTCAACTCAGGAGAGAGATTTGAGAGAAAAGATGAAGGAAGAATATGACACGTTGGTGCACAGTCTCTTTCAGGGAGCCTTTTCACTCAAGCACAAGTTTGACGAGTTTGGGTAAGGCGAGCCATCAGATAACAGACCGTTCGGGTACCGGGTCCGGTATGCTAATTTCTTTCACCCCAATCGGTATGAAGCCAGAAGCCACCCGGTCACTGAAGCGTGACGCCCCAATCGGTCCAAACTGGTGATTCAGGGTTTCACAATAGGCAACATAAATTGAAGTCTAGCCATTGTTGGAGGATTATTCGGCCAGCTGGGATTACCAGCGGCAACTTCTTTGAAGCTCATCACAGTCATTGTTGCCTACTGGAGGATTAGCGCGTCACAAATTGGTTCCTTTGTGATGAGCCAGAGCCATGGTGCAGAAGCCTGGTGGAGTTAATCCAGGCCGATCGGTTCCATGCAAGGTCCCAATCCCTTCAACATACTGGGCGGGCTCAACCCCGAACGGTCCAGGGAGGGATTCTAATTTGAGGGCTCGCCTAAGACGAGACAGTGCCCAAAGCAGTGCTTAGTTTGTTTATCATATAACTTTCCTTTCTTGTTATAATTGAAGGCTATTTCTACATCATGCTGTTTTGCCCTTCACGTCAGTTTTTTGGGCTGCTCTGGCTATATCTAAAATGAAGGCATGACCTAGGCTGTATGCAGTAATACAGGTTCCAAGTTTGTGGCGTGGACTTCATCAGTCTGTGAAATCACAGTCCTCTGTGAGCGGATTTAAATTCAGTGCCAATTGCACAAGTCGTCAACGTTTTCAGGAAGAGCCACAAATGTGGATTTTGAAGAAGTCCAAAATTTCTCCTATTTTAAAACTGCAAAAAATACTACTTTGCAACAACTTTGTGCAGTGAGGAAACCTTCACATGATTCTATGAGAGCTGAATTTTTACGTGAACCCTGTAATTATAATTCACACGAAAATCTAATTTTACGCCTTTTAATGCAATAGGTTTTGTACGATTTCAAGGGGCCGAAATGTTTTTGTCTCTTCGTGAAAACGCAAAATGCAATTATTGAGATGTCTGCCCCTTGCATGATTAATGTATTTGGAAATTAATGATGTTTTGCTTACAGAAACATGTCAAAATGGTTAAGTACAATGGTAAAAAAAAATCAAAATCAAAAAATTGTTTATCTTTGATATACATGTATGTGTCTCTTCGTGAAAACGGTGACTAAGTGTCAGTCCCAATTTGATGTCAGTGGTCCTTTCCAACTCTCTCTTTGTAACCAATGAGGGGTACTTGTACACGGAGTGCATTATGTATCCCTTCTTATACATGTACTGATATAATTTTCCCCATTATTGATGGGTTGACATCTTTAATCTTATGGCCATTGTTTTTTTTTCAACAGATTGCGACTGTACGATGAAGCGTTTGGCATCGTCGGTGAGGTGCGACAAGAGGCCATGGAAGCCATGAGGAAATTCACACCAAGAACGGCTGAAAAAGGTAAATACTAAAGGCTATTCCTTACAATGCCAACACTTATCTCCTGAGTGCCCCCTATTGTCCGATTATCATTATAAAAACAAAAAACCCTTTGACAGCCTGGTGCCGCAGTCATGAGCCTGGTCATGCTAAGGGAAACTGCAGCGAAGGATTAGTGACTAGATGCACTGCGTTGATTATCACTGTCCCATTGAATTTATTTAAGATCGGCGAGATGAAATAACGTTGGGTTGAAATCCTTACAAAGGTACATTGATGGGTGAAGCTTAAGTGCTTTGCCTGAATAGAAGACAGGAGCATGATACCCGTTTTGGGACAAGAGATTTGTCGTTGACAAGCTGCAGTGTCCGTAGTTTTGAAAAGATGTCGTTGTAAATGGGTTGAGAACAATGCTTTTGCTCACATTGGGCCAGCCAAAATTGTCGTTATAGCCGGAGTCTCGTAATGTCCGTCCAGTAATAACCAAAAATTTCCCCCATAGTAATGTACAGAAATTGATTGAGATTGGGATAATGTACTTGTTACATTTGGGATGGCATTATGACCAAGCTCGTTATAACGGGAGTCAACTGTATATCCATGAAAGGACTAATCTGAAACAATTGGCAACCAACGACCAGTTTGGATTCATGTCCTGAAGATGTTCAGGTTTTTTATCCAAACCTCGGCTGAGCAAGGGCATATGGGTCCATTCCAGGATTATGTAATGTCCGAGCTTTGAAGAGCTCAGTGAATAAACCTGAACATGTATTTTTTAAATCTTTTACATCCGTCATTTAGTAATGTTCAAAGAGATTCCACACTATGAGTTCTTGATCATTTCTTATAATCATTAATTAGACATTATGGTTAATGGACATAATTAGTGTGCATAATCGTCCAATTTGAACAGCACCCCCATCGAAAGACAAGTGTCCAGAGAAAAAAAAAACCTGTCTACATGACATCACAGAAGGGGAGTGCCCTTTTCACGAAATTTCCCCCTCCCCAATAATTTGTATGCCCCTGACCATGTCAATTTTAAATTGCTGCATATTGTAAAACTCATTGTCTTCAGCACAGAAGGCATGTATAATGAATAATAATTTGGGAGGCTAATCATCCTTACTCGCAGCTGAGAAGCTGAATTGCAAAGGATGCGGCTACAACGTTATACTTGAATATAACAATTGCGCCATCTCATTTTGCCATACCCCTTACTTGACATTTCTTTTCAGATGAGTCGGGGATAACACTTAACCAACGCCGCGCTGTGGAGCTGCAAACACTACGTCATGAGAAGAACAACATGAGTAGACTCCTACTCAAGATGAGGGCACTCACCAACTGGAGGCTTACCAACATGAGACAGCATTACCAGGGAACGGTGAGTTCAGGATTCAAAGATTATGTGCAACAAACTGAACCCGTAGCCTACCCAGTCTAATGCCAACCCCAGCCCCCAATCCAATCTGCCCAAATATCCAACCACCATCTCTCCATCCAAGCCCAAATATACGCCATCACAAGACACCTCAAACACTTCAAACAACACGAATGTCCCTTATACCCTCAACAACTTCCCTGATGATCAGGACTCTATCAGCCTTAAACCTGCCCAACTAATGCTCCAACACCCATCTACACCAAAACAACCCACATACTCCCGACACACACCCAAGTGTGTAAACCCCTTCAATCATGGACCCCCTATTGTCCCTCTTTTGTTTGTATTTTTTTAGGAAGACCACCCCCTATTACAAAAATCTAATATCAATGGGTTAGCTGTTTTCAAAGGGGACACTTTTGACTGGGGCTTCAACTAGCATCAGATAACAGAATAAGGAGTTGTTCATGCCTTTTCGCGAGATGGACATTTCATAATATAGCTAGAGGGGTGTTTCGAAAAACGTGAAAAAAAAATTGCTGAACAACATCGTTGGAAAGTTTCAATTTTTGGTTTGTTTTGACTCATGGACCGAAAATTTTTAATTTTTGTTTTTGACCCAAAAGGTATTTGTGAATGGGAATAAGTATGTGCTTGGCAGGTTTTAAACACAATGTTTAAGACCGTATGGAGTCTGAATGCTGATGTAATTATCATCATTTATTCCCGTGGTAATGAATGCTGTTCTCTCTGTCACCAGGCTGATGCCTTGCAGCATGAGGTGGACCGATGTAAGAGGGAGTACCTGACCATCAAGATGACAGCCGAGGAGGAGGTCATCCTCCTGAGACAACAGCTGACGGCGCTACGGAAGGCCCTAGCTACCTCCGATAAAGAGCGGGAGACTGTACAGAAACAGCTGGGTAAAGAGGTAGGAAACGAACTCTGATTAGGGTATTTTGTGTCTAGGTCCAGGTTTTCAAAGCTGCTTCCCGTATTACTTAAGAGTTTATGTCGTAATCAAAAAGTGAGCGAGATTATCGATTATTTTATTAACCTAACGTCCTAAGGGCCCTTTGGGGGTCAAGGACCAAATACTGCAGAATTCTACATGTGCTGTGCACTCTTGTATGTAAAGAATTGCATACTACAGGTTACTACTCAGTAGTATTTTGTAGCTTTGAGTGAGGTTAGGGTTAGAGTAAATATCAAGTGGTGTTTTGATTGGTTAGGCCAAAAAAAAAAATTTCAGTCTCTGGTCAGACCAAAGTTCCGGAATTGATGCGGGGACGCGGCCTATTTTTTTTTTCTCCTTTTTTTTTTTTCTTCAAGCTTAGATTGTACAGACAAGGTGGGGTACTATTTTGCTTTTTTTGGTGTCCTCATGTACATTGGTGTCCTCCATAATTTGCCTTGGTGTTCTCGATCATTTGCCTTGGTGCAATTCCCCATTCCTTGGTGCTCTTTGTTACAAAAAATTGAGGTGGTGCGGCTGTTGGAGCTACCGCGGAACATTTTGGAAAAAAAAAGATTGACGCGCATGATTAAAATTGACGCGCGCGCTGACCAGAGACCGACATATTTTTTGGGGGGCCTTAACTTCTTTTTATACTCGCCTTCAAATGATACCCATTTTCAGACTGGCTTCCAGAGTCGTTACCAAACCAAATAGTAGTAGGAGTGGCTTTGGTTTGCTCAAGTAGATTTTGCTTTCAGACATGCAAATTTCAGGTATTTACTTTCCCTTGATTAGACTTTTGGGTCATTCTAAATGGCTGCAACAGGCAATCGTTTAACGTAGTCTATTATGAACTCTTTCAAACTTCAACCTTTGTTGCATACTTAATTCAAATCTTCATAATTTCCGTATCCTCTTTGAGTGATCCCCATTTGCTATTTCCCAGGTTTCCAACAATGCTAATGTTACTTGCATTGCAAATTGGGGGTGGTCCGTGGCTACATGGCATACACGGGTTTAAGGCTTCTGACTAGCGCCCCTTGAGCAGGAATATTGACAAATTGGGTCACTGCCAACGTATATGGCTGGATAGCTCAGTTGGTAGAGCACCGGAACGGTAAACTGGAGGTCGCAAGTTCAAGCCCCGCTCCAGTCAATTTCTTTCTTCAACTTTGAAAAAAAATGCTATAATTAATTCACCTAGTCAGTTTCCCTTTGTGGAGTATTTGAACATTCTTCATAATAATTAGTGTCGACTCTGGAACAAAACTCTGGAACAAGTTTCTGAAGAGTATTTGTGTCTTGGAAGGGTCTCATTATCAATGTGACATGAAGTTTTCAAAGGAAATTAAATTGACAATTGGGTTGTATATCGTACAGCGCTAGTAAATTTCGTCACCATTTTCACGAAGGGACGGGCATGTCAAAATTGACAATTTTTTCGATTTCAAGTTTTTTCACTATTTTGCTTTAAAACATGGTACTTAAGCATTCTGACATGTTTCCGTAAGCAAAACATCATTAACTTCTGAATAACATTAATGACGTCAGGGGCAGGCATCTCAATAAGTGCATTTTGCGATTTCACGAAGAGACGCGAACATGCCTGCGCCCTTGAACACGTACAAAACGTATTGCACGGAAAGGCGGTAAAAGTAGGTCAACGGAGATTTTGGATTTCACGAAGGGACGAGCATCTTTGTTACATTCTCAGCTGCGTGCGCGTAATCGAACACGCGCGCTCTTCCCTATGGAAAAGCACATAAAACAAGAAGGGCGTAAATGTGGAACAGTTGGATTTTCGTTTCCACGAAGGGACGGGCATCTTTGTTACATTCTCAGCTGCGCGCGCTCTTCCCGTCCCTTTGTGAAACCGGTGACGAGTTGATTGCCCAAATGTGAAATTTGGATGTCTGTAGTACTGTAGAAACCAAGACTTTTGTTTATTTTTGTGACTTTATCAGATGCGCATCAAACAGGAGAAGCAGCATAAGTTGGAGCAAGAAGCCCGGAGTGCCAGGCAGCTTGAGGCGGCCAGGATCTCCAATCTAGAGAGAATGGTAAGACTGTAGATATCGCACTGTTTGCACACAATTGTTTTGCTGGCCAAATTATCCATGGCCACATGGCACATGTGGGTTAATGGCTTCTGACTGAAGTGCCTCATGAACTGAGACATTGACATATTGGGAGGCTGCCAACATTAGGTATGATAGCTCAGTGTGTAGAGCACCAGTAGCATGTTCCAGAGTGGCACATTCAAATCTTACTACAGTCAATTTCTAAGTTTAACCTCATACTGAATATATGTATGCGTATGGCTTCCATTTTGCCATCCTTCTCGCACTCCCAGATGGACGAGATTGATGACAAGGAACTACGCCTGCGCATCCTGTCAGAGGAGTACGACCGCACCATGCGCCTGTACCAGACCACCCAGGAGAAGGCCCGCAAGGAGGTCCACCAGATCAAGAACCGGTTGGACCACGAGCGCAGCCTCAAACTCGACGCCTTCCAGCGAGTGGATGACCTGCAGACGCAGGTTTACGACTATGAGGTTGCGGTGTCAAGCATGTCCAGGCCCTACACAGCAATGAGTGAGTGCTCGTATACTAACTCCATTGTAAACTCTTTGAGGGAAGACTAACTTCCAGATATTAGGTGTAGGCCATTAAAATTTAAATTTACTGCAGGCTCCATGCATAATGAATTAAAATTTTTATTAATTTATTGATGCCTACTTAAAGCCCCGGTCACACATTCATGGTTGGAGCTGCGAATATCCACAGTTTAACAAGAATCAATCGATCACGATGAACCATCGAGATTCGTGGAGAAATTAACTTTCTAAGAATGCACTACGGTTCCAGGACGGATAGCCACGACTGTCCTAAGGTTTCTTTACGAATACACCACGGTTTGTCGAGAATATTGATGGATTGGTAAATAATATCGACGGTATTATGACGTTAATGCCACGGTTGTCTGCGATTGTACCACGGATTACCGAGGTTCTCCTACGGCATATTCGTAGTACAAGTACCTTGGCAGAACCCTAGCATATCCGGGCCTATCTGTAGGACATTTGTAGCGAATTCGTAGAGATTTCTATCACGAGTGAGCTACGAATCTCAAAGAATTTGTACGAATAGCCACGAATAACACTACTAATTAGTACGGTTGTCCTACGGGGGTCTACCCAATGTTCCCCAATACCTATGTTCCCCAATACCGATGTTTCCTGAGATCCGTAGGATTAGGGTTAGGGCTAGGGTTAGGGTTAGGGTTATAGGGTAAGGATTTTGGGAAACATCGGTATTGGTGAACATCAATATTGGGGAACATATATAGGTATGCACCCGTCCTAACGATGTCCTACGGTCGCACTACGGATTGATTTTCATGACGATTCATCACAGAAGTTTGGAACAGTTTAAAACTTCCATAGCCCCTCCACCAATACCCAAGGGAGATGACGGATAACCACGGAGGTACTAAGGATGAATAAGGTACTCCCACGGTTTATCACGAATTTTAAACCGTGCATATCCGTAGCTCCAAACCGTGAATGTGTGACTTGGGCTTTAGGGTTCAACATAGTAGAAACCATGCATGGACCTGACCAATCTGTCTTTATACATGAACTGACCATTTTGGTAAATACTGATTCAAATGAGTTTATGAATGTGCATGAGGTAGTTAATACGGTATCATCTTTAGTTTTAATCCACAACTTCAAAATGTTGATTTCACGGACAAGGATTGTACGCTATTTGTTTATTTACAGGGATGGACAACTAACATGGACTTTATATATGTGACATTTTGGTTCATTGGTTGTTTTATATATTTTTATTGGAATTTTACAGTTGGCCAACATAGGGCTTGATAGCTCGGTTGGTAGAGCACCGGAACAGCAATCCGGAGGTTGCAGAGCTGTTCAAACCCCACTCCAGTCAATTTCTTTGTTCAACTTATATTTCTTAACTCGGCCTGAATCTCTCTCCCTATATGTCAGAGTTATTTTTGTATTTGTTTCCATTTTTATAGAGTAAAAAATTCATCTGCACAGGAGCAGTTTTGTTTGCTTTCTGAATGAACTCACAGTCACTAGCTTATAGCAAGTACACATAGTCATGCTTGTTTAAAGTCGGCAGTCTTACAGATTTGTCGACATTCCTCACACATGCACATATGGAAGCTATCATGACATGCCTTGTATAGGATTTTGGAGGGACTGTACAGTTGACCACAAAGGAAGCTACTTAAGAGACTGGTGTGAATTTCAAATTTACAAAAACATTTTGTTGATTTATTGAACAAGTCTCCTACATTGGTGCTCTTTGTCTTTTTCAATGGACACGCAGGGAGACCATATACAGCGCGTCCCAAAATACAGCGCGTTCCAAAAATACAGCGCGTCGAAAACAAACTCAACCAATTTCAAGGAAAATTGATGATGCGGTACATCAGATGCAAACTCAAGTCACACTTTGAGCACACTTTTTGAATAGGTAAATATACTTGCATTTTGAAAGTGAACTTGAAACGAAGAAAAACATTGTGAATTCATGTAAGGTGTATAGTCTACCTGGATTGAAAAGAATAGGAAACAGCAACGAGATTGTTACATCAAGAACATGATGAATGATTTCCACATTAGATAAAATGCGCATGATTGCTTTTCCTTGATATCGGTCGAGTTTGTTTTTGACATGCCTTTATTTGAACACAAATCTTTTCAAACCCCTTTTGAAAATCAAACCAACACTTATCAGGGATAAAGTAAAAAATAATAAGCTTTAAAATGATATAAGAGTAATGGCGGTATGTGTTTCCGCGGCGACGCTAGAGCCTCGCAAAATGATTTGCAGATAGTTTGGGACGTGCTGCACATGCAACAACCACAATACAATCCTTACAACTCCAATTCCTTAAAATACCACAGTCAAGATGCTGTCCATCAAAACATATATATATATGTATTGTGTGTAAAATTTGAATGAGCGCTGGACTATCTTCCAAAATCTATTGTATGATGACAAGGTATTTAGAGAACATGTGCATGTAGTAATACGGTTAATTCAAGTAGAGCACACAGAGCCAGACCCATTTCGGTAACGAGACATTCAAAGCACTTTCATCAGTTTTGAAACTAATGTCTGCTTGATTTGTAAACAATTGTCCTTCATCTCTCCATTGTTTGACTCAATGCTCATCCATGTCTGCGACTCGACAGGTCTTTTTACACCACGTCAGCTGCCTCGTGAGTAGACTTATTAAAAAGAAAGCTGGTCTTTGTAGAGTTTGCTCAAGCATTGCACCCTGTGGAACCACGCTGTTTTTCAGAAAATGTTTTTTAAGAGGGATAGCTGGGGATGTAGGATACTTGAATCATTCAAGCCAGTGCATTATGCCCTCTCAAACTTCAAAATTGAAAGAATGTTGCATCCTAACGCCACTTTTTTTTTTCATCTCAAAGAAGTGCAGTCATTGTAAAAATGTTAAAAAGACTTGAATCTGGGACTGACAAACATTTCCAATTTTGTTATAAATACCTTGAAAATGTACTTGACTCTTCATATACTTTGTACATGACCAAAGAAGTGGAGTATGGATACTGCATTTTTTTCCCATCAAATTTTGGTGTGTGCTTGCTCGCTCAGATTCACTGCATAACAAATGCTTGAAATCCCTGGATGTGAATTTTGTGTTTTAAACCAATTTGACAAGTGTTTTCTAATTTCTATTTGAACAGAAGCCAAAGTACACTGTTATTATAGATTTTAAAGCAATTTTTGGAAATGATTTCTAAATTGATGACAAAAACATATATCCTCTAATCCTTCTATGCAAAAAAAAACATATCCATGGCATTTCTTTCAAAATTGAACAAAAGTTCAAACTGCATGCTTACTTCTTTTGAAAATGTGTTTCTGCTGCAGTTGCAATTACATCAATGCTTATTACTAGCAGGAAAAGCAGAAGAATTAACCACTCATGGAAGGATGGATCTGTCTTAAATCAGGGATTAACGAGAATTTGTGCATTGACGATCCAGCAGTGGTTCTTTGAGATACAAGGAATACCCCCCTCCCCCAACCAAAAAACCCTTGTACTCACTGAAATATATATTAAGATCTTGTACTGTGTTCTCATATCTGTGAATTGCAAAAGCTTTCCAGCTCCAGGAAAACCAGAAATTTTAATCAGACACCAAACATTTCAAGGGATCAATACCCAAATGAAAAATACTTAAAAGAAGTCATATTTTGAGTCAGTATTTGAGAGCAAGTTCAGCCTTATCTCCAAGTTGAATGACTAAATGCATATGTCTGAAAAAAAATGCATGTGTCTAATAAAAATGGAAACTTTGGAAGGGAATTTGAAGGCAATTTCTGTAAAAAGAAACATGGCTGGCGAAAAGTAAATGTGGCCACGGGGGGCTTGCTTGGCCTGCACACGACACGTAGAAAACACATCGTACACAGCACAGTATAGATAGGCTCAATCTAGATTAGTGCACATTATCACTAAAGTATCTTCATCACACAACCGGTTCTGTTGATGGAAGTGCTTTTGGAACAAGCTGTGCAAATGGTAGCTAGCTGCTAAATGGTTTACATGTTCCAAAGTCACTGATCAGACAGAAATGACACACAGTTTGCAATGTTACCATTTTGATAGAATGTACACAAAACATACACTATTGTGTGCCAGTCGCCAGTATTCATGGTACAATACATGAAACAAGCATGGAGGCATGACAGCAGATGCCGAAGGGCTGATTTTTTTTTTTTTTGAAATTTTTTTTTCTTCATTTCAACCAGTAGAGAGATGTTATAGCATATCGATTGGGATTACCAGTCACACACCACTGCCTTGTTGGAGAACTGGCTGTCACAGAACACATATGATCAACACTAACCCTATCATCGATAAACCATCATTCTCATTCTCATGAACACTGGGTTCTCAAATGATTTGTTGGGTCATTTGTCCTAAAGCTTTCAGCTGATTACCTTTCAGGGGAAGCTGAACATGGATTAAAAACACTTCTAACAACAAATCCATACAAAAATTAAACCAGCAGTTGACTATGCCAAAAATTGAAAGAATACTCAACAAAATGGTGACATTTGAGAACCCAGTCTTTCCAACCATCACAACCATTGCTAATATAATAATTAATCCAATCAGTTCTAGTTGATTCGGCCAATATACGTGTATTAATGTTAACCTTTAATAAACATTTTTTTGCCATGTACTAATCCATTAATTCTCATGTCTTTTACCATTGTTTTGTTTTACAGCGACAGCTAAAACAATTGCAATGATAATATTGGATGTGATTGATCATTAACTAACAAACTTAACAGTCATGTCAACCCCATAATGATTGTATTTATATTCAGAACATGAAGTTGGTGGCAGTTGAGCAATCAACGATAAGTTGTATTCAACTACCGGCAATGATCGAGTGCCTATCCATGTTTGGACTTTTCTTTTGGCAAATAGTGTTGTAGATAACATATATGATATGATTATGAAAATATGAATATGAAAATATGAATATGAAAAATAATTCCTGTTAATATAGCCTTAAGTAAGATTTGAGGCTTTGCATGGTGGAGATACTAATGAATGAAAGGTTTGCGGAAACACCATGTGCGAGTAATTTCTCAACTAAGTGATGGTTCTGAAAAGTACCAGAATGTATCCAATTAAGGAGACATTTTTTGTCATAAGTTATACGTTAGGGAGACACTGGACATTAAGGAGACATTTTATAATTCATACAGTTATGAATATAAGACAACTTGCTTTTGGGAAAATAAGCAAATTTTGCTTTTGGCTGGAAATACCGGGGCTGAAAACCTAATTTGCAGAAGAATTGTGCATGAAAAAAACTGCTGCTACACAGGAATGATCATCAGCGTTCAACTTTAAGACCTCAAACTAAATGACCAATAGTGAGTGTACTATACAACACTGTCTTCAACGGACCAGACATGATATACAGGAATCTAATTCAAAAAGTATCCCGCCTTAAAAAACTAAAATTGGCAAAATAGGTTTGCACACTACGTCAAGGGTCAAAGCTTTTTCTTAAACCTTAGGTTGAACTTAAAACCCAAGCATTAGCATTCAGGCTCTTGATTCCATGATAGTGAAGATGGAGCAAACTCCTTAGTTGGTATCTTTCAAGACAAAGCTTCAAAATTTTGAGGCACAGCTTTGAGTCTGCCTTTGATGTGTTTCAAGCAGCTCCGAAAGAATCCTAATGCCAAATAGTCTGGTGCCTGAAAATCAAAAGACAGCAAGTATGCAGACAAATCATGTGACCCATCCCTTCTTTGAAGTTCATCCAGGGCCATTTCTCAAACCTCTGTGTTGTTCCAGTTTATCCTTGGTCTAGAACTAGTATTTGGCTTTTAATGTTTGAACTATATATATCTCGAATCCAAACCAGGGCTTATTATCATTCAATTTGATTTTCCTGTGGCATAAAATGATTAATTTGGCTAGAGTCTCCAAAAGCAGGAATCTCTGGAAGCAGAAGCTATACTTGAAACCATGGTTTAAGAAATGCCTCAGAATTAGCATGCATGTGAAAACGTGTGTTCACTGTTCACCTGTTCTATTTTAAAATGTTTCAAACAGCAATGAGATCCAAGTCTAGATCCACCACCGCGGACAAGCGACCCAAGAGTCACAGAGTGACAAGCAGTGTGAGCGCCAGTACAGGGGTGTGGCCTCCTAACACCATCATGCCGCCCAACTACCAGCAGAGGTCAGTCACCCCTGACCCCTGGCCCCCGGTGGCCAACAACGAGAGGTACGACCGAGTCACACAGAGACCCAAGACGGTGAGTATCGGATGGGTACTGCACTTGGATTTCAATCCAGTGGTGGAAGGTTCGATTCTAGCTCCAGTCACTTCATTCAATGCATTGCGCATTCAAAAAGGATAGTTTGGAGACTGCTCTGGACAGTTCAACTTGATATCTGCTGTTTTTGATTGAGAAGTTAGGTGAAAGAAGTTTTCCTTCATTTTGTGTTTTGATTCCTCTTGCAAATGATAGATCCATTAAGCTCCTTCACTGTGATGTTGCGACTAATCACAGTCGCAAATCTCTCGCAATAGCACTGAGTCATAATGATATTACACTTGTGCGATTTCTGGTATGCGCGCGTCGCCAGAGCCTTTTTCAATGTAAGGTGATGTCTCCAAACCGCCAAACTCAATGAAATCCTGCTGCTGCACAATTTTAACATGTTTTTTAGATGGGGTTACGATCGAGTGTAAGCTTGATGTGGCCGTCTCTGGGCTCCCATATATTTTGCACTATTAGTCGGGCAACATTTGCAGACGGTGTTGTAACTTTGTAATTGTGCTTCTGGGAGCCAGACTGAGAGAGCAATGATCGTGTATCTGGAACCTGAAAATGCTTTTTAAGTAGCGCAATATGTAAGGGAGCAGACTAATGACCAGCCTGGCAGCTCGTAGAGATGAGTGGTTCATGCACGATGTCGCCAGCGCTGTATGGTCTAACCGTTACCGTTTTCTCTGATTTTTGTCTTGACTATCCAAATTTCATGTAGAATGTTCGTGTCAGTCGAGATCGTAAGTGGGTGCAAAATTCTCAAGCCTTATGGCCTTACTGAGGTCACCCTCCAGCTTCACCCCGAAGGATATTTTTGAGAATAAGGGGATCAAAGCTTCATCTGCAACATCAGCCGACATTTGAAGAAAAAAAAAAGTTGGGGGGAAAAAAAGGCCTGCGTCGCCGCACCACTTTGTGGCCCGGTGGCAAGCTCCATACCAGAAACCAGAGACTTTTTTTTGTGGCTTTATGGGAGATGAGAGCCACCAAGCTCCTATAGAAGAGCACACATGTATTGACAAAGCCTGACATCATTATGACCCGGGCCTTACTGTGCATCCAAATGTCTAACTAAAGTTTGGCGTGCGTGCACATTGTGATGGACGTGGCTGGAATATGCAGTGACACTAGAGAGGCGCACATGTTGTTGCCTTATAGTCTTAAGGAAGAGTCTATTCTTCTTGTAATTTTAAACTATTCACTTCTTCCGTTGTTTCCATCTTTACATGTTTTTTTTTCTTTTTCTTTTTTTTCTGGCAGGTCGGCACCAGGCTGCGCAATCGCATCGCTGACCAGCTACTGACTAATCTGGAACCCAATCACCATGAGACCATCATGCACCTGCAGACTGAAGAGCAGCAACATCAGAAGTACAAGCTGTGATGACACATTCTAACATCTTCATTACCATAACTAGGACCACAGGAATACAATCTTAGAATGAATAATCATTCCCTTCCAGTAATGATTTCAATAAATCAAACGGCAGATATATTTTTGTGTTACCTAATCAACATGAAAATAGTCATTATTTATGCCGCTTGGTCGAAGTATCTTTAAAGCAAATATCTATGAAAATTTAAATCCACCAGATGGAAGACTTAAGTTTGTGACCACCATGACATACATTTATTTATTGATAGAAATGATGAGGAGTTGATTAGGCCTATATAATAGTAGAAATCATCCCGAACGAATTTAACTTTAAAATCTTATAAGATCTTCTTAGAATCTTGATTCTTAACAATCTTAAGAGCGAGTAGGAATTTGTAATATTCTTACAAAGTGAGTAATAATATGGTAAGATTCTTATGGATTGATGATTATGTTTTTAAAACAAATTGGCAAGCGATTGAATCTTTAATAAACAGCTTTAATAAGTGCAACACATTGATTTATTAACTTCGAGCACCTTGTGTAAGTTTGATAACAATAATGGTTGTGAAAAATAAATCGATGTTTCTTGCATAACAAATAAGCCTTCAAAAATATGAGTAGGCTAATACTAAGTGTGAATATTCATGAGTCATGAATTTGTTTTGTACTTAAAAATATGACAGAGTTTTGATCAAAGAAGAATATGTAAATATTTTGGTATAAGATGCAATTTTGACTGTAGATTCCAAGATTGAAGTATTCATGAGAGGCTATAAAGAATGTAAGATACTTTTATATATTCATAAACAATACTACAAAGCAGTTTCTGCCATACGCTGTATTAAAACATGCCTTTTATTTTACTACACAATGTACATGTACTACACAATGTACATGTTAATGCTTTTTATCATGCGTTTCGTTCATGCCAATTGAAAAACAAATTTGAGCAAGAGCAAATTATGACTGAAAATTAATCAAAGTAGCATAGTGTGTCTCTTTCACTCTTTCAGCACTATTGATTGTAAAATGCACTTGTTTTCTTTTGTAACAAAAAGAACCGATATCCGTCCTAAAATAAAAAAGTCAATAACATTGTATTGAGTGAATTTCGTTTTTCTCTGTTTTCCTTTCTTTAAACCCTATCAGGTCAGCGTGAAATTTGGTGAATTTTCTTAATGATGGGACTCGTTCGAGGAGCTCATCCGGATCGACTCTGGTAATGTAAAGCCAGACGGGTTATTAGCGAGGAGAGTTGTGCTAATCAAACGCTCATGCTGGGACCATCATGATCCTAACGTGATGGTCTGTAGCCGCGGGGGGAACCATTGACAAAACGCCCATTTCGGACTGAGTCTGACTTTGAGATTTACTGCTTTTCCGTCAATCGCAAACAGTAACAAAATCGGGCTGGAAATACAACCTTTAAAGTCGCCATGAGCTTAATAGGCCTATGCTTAGACTTCAAATAAAGCTGATTTCTGGGTCCACTCCATATTTTCATTATTTGACCACCATAAATTGTCCGTTTCTCGGAATGAAAAACGCATGCGTGTGACATATTTCCACCACTGACTCTGCTCACCGAGAATGGTCTGTACGTGGTGGCTGACCCGAGTGAGTCAGGAGCCCCGACAATGATGGAATGGCAAGGGGCTACTTACCCGAGCCGACCCAGTTGAGCTAATCGAACGCACCCTTTATTAGGTGTCAAACAACTTCTGTGGGATTCTATGATTACCATGCCCAACAATTTATAAAATACTATTACGTACACATAAAATGTTTATTTTTGTATTCAGAATATGGAAATGTGCAGTTTTGTGGGTCAAAACCATGTTTTTTTTTGCACAAAAAAACCCGTTTACGTATCTACTCTAGATTTAACCTGAATAGTCATGTGACCAACTTCAATGCATGCTTGGCCAACATGGCCCCCATTATCGCGAAAAGCTGCTTTTATTTTCGCCTTTTCGCCGCCAAGTTTTGGGGAATTTAATACCCCAAAGTTTATTTTCATAAAAAAATGCTACATCCCCATATTAAGCAATATCAACTTTTCTTTTCTGCCAATTTTGGTAGATAGATTCAACTTTTGTGACAAAATGAAAACAAGTGATTTTGCACCAATATTTGTATTCCGCCCTCTAACAGCAACTTTGGATGCCAAACGTTTATTGATTGAATGAATATTGACCTCAAGAATTGTTGAATCAAATTTGGAAGCATTTGATTGAAAACCAATATTCCTGCCAAATTGAAGGGAAATCGGCTCAGACAAGCCGAAATACCATGGACTATCTTTTAGGGCATGCTACGCCCCCCCCCAAAAAAAACAAACCCTGATTAAGTGACAATCTTTTTGTGTTGCTCAAGTTACTAACTTTCTATAATGAGACATCAAAATTAATAGAAATGGCCCAAGATGAAGGTGATTACACTACGAATTAAGTGATGCATTTAATACACAACGGAGTAACCATACACATGCACATGTAGTCTATAAGCAGGGCTATGGCAGGCACTGCGTGAAGCTGGTTGTCAATAGTATCGTCACTCAGGGGTAGTTTCTTCAGAACCGCTAGTTTCTAAAACAACGAAAGTAGAGACAAACCAATTCAAATACAGTTCTCATTATCATATTCACAACAGACTAATACACCGACCTTAACAATTAGAAGCCATTAAGGTGGTGATATCACGATCTCACGCGCAGGACGAGCACGTGCTCTTAATAATGCTCCTCTGACCAATTGGGTTCCCAACATGCGCGCACCTCACCTGACAACCACCTTGATGAATTTGTATAGACTCATTGTGTGACACTTGATTCATCATCAAAATGTTTGATTCTAATTCTAAAACACAGATTTCGGAAATGATCAACCTAGTATTTTGAACTCGGTGAGACCTCCATGGTTTTTGCGTATTACATAGCCTTTACATTCCAGCGGCTGCTTTTAGTTGGTTTAAATTGTTTCAGTGTCTGTGCTATGCCTGTGATTGCCAAGCAGAGTGGTGCGTCCCAACTTATTCAATTAATTTTACGTTGTTTTATAAGATAACCAAAAACTGTCTGTGTTCCTACCGACAATGCAGATGACCCCGGCATCTCGGCTGTGGCTGCAGGTAGATGCTGTCCAGCAGAGGGACGGGCAGTCACCGAGTCCCTCCTCCGAGCCGGTACAAGCCACGCCCTCCATATGGACCTGTCCGCTTCCTTCCCCGAAGTGCGCTCCGGACTTGGCCTCCACGGCGCCGTTGTACCCGAGTTGTCGGCAGACCACCCCGGCATCAGTGACGTCCCAGCCACGGTCGCAGATCGTTCCCCACGTGTCGTTTCGGAAGATCTCCACCCGGCCACTGAAGTCGTTGGAACCGCCCTCCAACCGAACAGTGTCTGTTTCAAGTACGATTCAGGGAATGAATAAAGCTCAGTCAACATGACATTAGGAACGGACTCGTGTTTTCTACAATGTTGAAGAAAACTACACCTTGACCCTTTGCATGGCAGCCATCTTTGAGGGAAGTTTTTTTTCCCCCGCTTACTAGACTTTTATGCTTCATTGTGCAGCTATACATAAAAACCCCGGCCGTAATAGTTAGCCACATAATCTGTGCGCTACTTCAAATTATCTTAATGCAATGTCGGAACGGAATTTTTTTTTTAATGAATGCTTGAGCTAAGTTAAGTTAGAATTTAAAAAAAGGAGCTGGAGGAGAAGGAGTACAAGTTAAAGCAGCAAAATAATATAGCTCGCAAGAAAAACAAACAAAAACGGGAACATTCCAACAAGAAAAAAAATAGGGAAGGAAATTATCGGAATCCAGTAAAAAATGGAGGAGTGAACATGATAAATTAAATATATATTACTTTGACGTATTAAATTCACCAAGGATTAAAAAAAACAACACGCATATACGAACTAAAAGCTAATATTTAATTTATCAAAACACAACACGCATATATGAACCAAAAGCTAATTTGGATAACAAGAAGAAACAATTTCACAATCAGTAGGACTAAAACTGACACCTACTTAAATTGGGTTGACAAACTACTCCGGCAACGTTTGAGCTTTCACACTGCTGGTAGTTGGTGCAGACAAACGGGCAGTCGACCAGTCGGCTCTCCGTCCCCTCACAGGCGACTCGGCTCATCATGATCGGCAGGTCGCCTCTCCCGTATTCTGAGGCTGTGTTGGCCTGGATTGCAGCACCTAGGTCCAGCTGACGGCACACCGTGTTGGCGTCGTTTATCCCCCCCAGTCATTACCGCACACCGCTCCCCAGGATTCTGTATCGCGGTGGTAAATTTCCACTCGGCCACGCAACGCATCAGTGCCATTCACCAACCTCACTGCACCATCCACTGGTTATGTATAATTATATACATAATAAGTCACGATTACATGATTGTGTATATACTACCAGATCAACTCAAAACTTTGCAAGCTAAACAAAAATCTAATATAAATGATAAATAGCCCCACTCATTATTTCAGATATAGCGTGGTATGTGAAAGAAGGAACCCCTCCTCTTATTGCGTTGGTCATTGTGTTACGAGAATCTCAGGAATTCATGTGAGATATAATAGGGGGAATGTGTTAGGTAACAATAGTCTAGGGTGTGTATAATGGTATAGGGAGATTGAAGGGTGCCCCTCTGTCACATATCGTGCTGGGTATACATTATTTTGTCTGATCTCAAATATAATGCACTTAACGAGGGGCAAAAAGAAGACCACATACTTTCAGCGAACGTTGTTGTAAACAAACCTTGATAATTTAGTTTGAATGTGCATACAAAGATATCCTGCAGATAGAATAAGGATTTTATTTAACAAGGCTTTAATTTGAAGGAAAAAAATCTCATCTTGAGGTCGGGCTGTCAAAAGCCATGTCTAGAAGATCTTTAAATCATTTTTGAACGAAATGATGACTTTGCTCAATGTGATTTTTCTAACGAATCAATAGCTTTCATTAAGTACCTAATTGGCATCCGAATACCTCAAACCTCACTCTGTAAATTGTGGAAGTCCAGGACAGGGGTAGTATGCGAATAAACCTTGCTGTGGGTACCACAGGAAAGGTGACATTCGTCGGCCGATCACTGCTCAAGGTGAACTAAAAAAAAAAAAAAAAAAAAAAAAATTAAAAGCAGGATTAGAGTGGAACTGTTCGGAACATGTCGGTACAGAAAAACATACATATTTGTTGCATATGATGGTGTTCCCTCATAGGCATTCACGGATAGAGCTTGGAAAATAGTTTGCCTTTGGTTGACTATATCGCTACAGTTACCATCGACAATAGTAATTTAGTTAATACAGGTTTCGCGGTTGCATTTTACCAGTCTGACAGGAACATAATCATTATTTCGATCCACAACATCGTTGGACTGGATTGTGTTAATGTCTGCTTCAAATTTCAACCAATGGATATCCTTTTCGCAGACTGATGATCCACGAATTTAGTATTCTAATTAGCCCCAGCTTCGGAACGTTCGTCTCAGGTGGATACTCTGCTTTTTTTCCCATTCGTATTAGCGCTTCGGTCTTTTCCTTTATCATTCCTGTCATGCATGGTGATGGAGGAGATTAAAGGATGAAACTAATGGCACTATTTTAACTGAAGATAAAGAGTTGAAACTTTGTCACAAATCATGTAATCATTAAAAAAGGAACAAAGACAGTCATTTCAGAACATATAGAGTACCTTGTCACTAATGGAAAAGTAAGGTAGCACTTTAGTGAAATGGATAGAGCTATAGAAACGTCAAGTTTTAAAGAAATGAGGGGGAAAAACTTAAAGAGTTTCAAACTGAAATATCTTGTTTCCAATTTGGAAATATAACATTTTTAGGCCAACGATGCTGTGGAAAGCAATTAATAAAGATGACTGAATGTTTGGAAAGCGCTCTCTGTAACTCACTCTGATTGCTCCACCGCCAGCATTGGCTAAACTCTGCCAGTCATCTGACTCGGCTGTGAGGCTGTGCTGAACTGAAAATGCCTGGACATAATAAGCGGTTCCTGTGTAGTGTCCTTGCATGGTGAGCCCGGTAACCACCGTGGGTTTACCCAGGTCAACCTGGATCCACTGGTCT